CTTAACTGCATCTTTGTTTACTTATTCTAAACTGTAAAATACTTACAACTTTCTGTATTAAATCATGCATGTATTTTAAAACTTAATGTAACACTATGACAATTAATGGCTTTGTTATTATATTTGTAATCAGTTGTTAAATCTATATAAAACATATTTCACAGAATCAACATTATTTTCATTCCTTAGACCTTATCTAATGTTGAGGTGAAATCAATCCACACTGACCACTGGTAAATGGCCATATTGTTTCTGATAAGAGTTGTATCGCTAATGCACCATGGACAGTTTATAGTTCACGCCAGTGTTATAATAAGATATCCTGCAGAGAAGTAATTTAGATAAACAGTTACCTTCTACTAGGGAATTTCTGGCAAATGTGGGCCTATATTACAGAGTGACTAGGGAATTTCTGGCAAATGTGGGCCTATATTACAGAGTGAATATATCGATTAATCGCATAATTTAGGCTGACACCCCTGAGACCAGCTCTTTCCAATTAATTAAGCAAACCAGCAGCTATTTATATATAGATGAACAATAATTGATCTCTTACAATTAACCTCATGATTCTTTTATAGTAATTATAACGTGTGATATAGGAGTATCATAGGACTCGTATACACAACAACCCAAATCTTGTTTCTAGGTCAGCTTAATGATTTCAAACTTCTATAAATAAGGCATATCCGTGGTCTTTTTCAAGCTGAACGCCACAATAGTTTACATGTTTCTAAAACATCATATCATATTATATACATGTAATCAGTCTGAAATTCTTCTTTATTAAACTATTCTTCTTCTGGGAAAATCACGTAAAATGTATATACAGAACTTCAACCATTTCACTACTTACATTATTATCTCAGATGTCTCATAATTTCAGTTTCTTAATCTAAATATACTTTCAATGCAAAATATATTCATTAATAGAGTAATTAACAAACATGTGACCTTTGAACTTGCTGTTGTAACATTCTTAATTTTATAGTATCTCCAAATCATCTCTCTGGCGATATTTCATACTTTGAAGAAAGTTATTTAATACAAGGACGCAAAAATTGTTTGTTAAGTTAACAGATAAATTTAGAATACACATTTGTGTAGCTTATATATTGAATATTCACCAAGACACTTATATATAAAGCAATGAATATAACTTTATAGTGAAAACTAAAGGGAGATCATGAAATATCATAAAGAGCCAAAGCCTGTTTTTGACAGAAAAATATTTAAGTTCACACATATATAACACGACAAATATGATATATGGCTCATCACAGCCTGCGTATTATAGTAATTTATGATGTATGGCTCATCACAGCCTCCGTATTATAGTAATTTATGATATAAAAACTAATTATGTCAGAAGCATCTCAAATATAATAACATGTAAGTGACTCTATATAAAACATAAGTTGACAGATAAGTTGTTAAAAGCGCGCCTGAAAAAAGAACAGAGTTGCATAAATGAATTAAGAAAAAAGCGGGATTCGCCGTATAATAAAATTACTTGTGAAAAGAACTCATAATGCTGGAAACTGCTGTACAGTGTCCCATTTATTAGAAACTGATCTGTCTTATAACCAGAGGTCAACTTTTGTAAATCTTAATTAGAAAACGCTTGTAAAAAATCTTGTAGCGCTTATTACTGGAAATCTCTTTCATCTTTAGCTTATCAACTAAGAATTCCTAAATTTTGTAAACATTCCACTGCCATCAATAATTTCATGGTGCAAACTATACTTATACCAACAACACACATTCCTTATAGGTTAATTACATAATTTGTATGACAACATTAGACTCCTTATATTTGCACATTTGCCAGACATCTAAAAAAAAGTTCTATTATTCTAGATTTCATTATACTTCATACATAATGCTTGAGTATCCAGCGTTCAAACTCGAAAATAAATCCTTCGGGGTAAAAGGACAAAATTATTTAATTCAAATGTTTCAATTTAAGCAAAATTGATTTAGTGGAACAGAACAAAAATGCCGCAATAAATAACGATAAGTACAGTTTTACTTACAGTTGACTTTTTGTGCCCCCACTATAGGGGGGGGGGGGGTTTAGATTTACCCTTGTCCGTCCGTCCGTCCTTCCGTCCGTCCGTTCCCTTTTTGTGTCGCACGTAACTCAAAACATATTTAACCTAGTCATGAAACCTTACAAGAATGTTAATCAGCATGTGTTGTTTTGCACCTGGATATTTTCGTGTGGATATATTAAGTATTTTTAGAGTTATTGCCCTTGAATTAGTAAAAATTTCCAATTTTCAACTTGTGTCGCACGTAACTCAAAAAATATTTGACCTAGTATCATGAAACCTTACAGGAATGTTGATCAGCATGTGTTGTTGTGCAACTGGGTATTTTCGTGTGGATATATTTAGTATTTTTAAAGTTATTGCCCTTGACTTAGTAAAAATTTACAATATTTAACTTGTGTTGCACGTATCTCAAAAAGTTTATGACCTGTAGGCCTGAAAGTTTACAAGAATGTTGGTCAGCATGTGTACTTATGCACCTTGGGGTTTTCTTGTGGCTTTAATCAGTATTTGTAGTATTTGTCCTTTACTTAATAAATACTTTTAGTTTTCAACTTGGGCACATGTAGCCAAAAAAAAATGACCTAGAGACATAAGATTGACAAATCGGTGGAGTGTGGGGACACCCGTGTCCTATGAACACATTTCTAGTTTTTTAATTATTTTTAGGTATTACTGCATTATCCCGAAATCCGCTGAATTTGTATAATGGATTCGCTATGCTTTGCATATGGAATAGTCTATTCAAAGTTTTAGGGAATTCATTGTCGAAAATACAATAATTGAGGTTCCGGCAGTATAGAGCCTGGGCAGACTGTACGGATGTGCAAGCTGGCCTGGTTCTTACTGGTGGTAAAAGTTAGTTGCCACATAGTCGACTTCTGTTCCAGCAGGTTAAAGGGTTAACAGTAAGTATATAGATAGTTAGATCAATATGTAATTGCATTAACTGAGACAATATTGATAAGTAGATAATGTATTATGTATGCACGGAATCTGTGTGATCAATATAGAAGTATTCCATCTGGTGATTACCTAGTCGATACTGACACGTGCAATATGTTCTAGAAAAACAATTTACAGATTACTGCAACACAGACTTGTTTGTTGTTGTTTTTTTCGAAAGGAATGAAGAAATTTTATCTCAGTACCAAGAACGCAATGTATATTTCTATATGTTAAAAGTATATATATGTATTAACGACGTTGAGCGCGTGCGTGCGTGTTTATAATATCAAGGATGGTATTAACAACAACATTAGAGTGGCACTTAAAGGCTCCCATATATATCAAGCAAATATTGTTTGTGTTAGTTACACTGTGAGCATTGTCTAAGTGGTACTTACATATTGTTTACATCATTACACTCTATAACAAGCAATGATAATTGATCAATTACAACACTAGTACATTGTAATTCTAATTTTTAACTTCATTTTGACGATACGATCCTGCTGTATTCTATATAAAATGATTACAGTAATTGGAATGTAAGGATATAATGCCAGTTTGGTATCTCAGGTCTGTGAAACAGATATCAGCTGTTGTTCTACACGTGTTGTCAATTATCAAATGAAATAATGACGCGGGTTTAATGGTCGTCAAACTGGTGTTCTTCCTTCGTAAATACCATGTGCTCTATTGTAGTTAGAATTGTACCATTGGTGTTTCGCGTATAAACAAAATGTTTTCTATTTGTAGTATACGTGTTTTCTATATTTGTTGCATATACGCGTATTCTACATGTGGTATACATGTTTTCTATATTTATGGTATACGCGAATTCTACATGTGGTATACATGTTTTCTACATTTGAAACTCATGTTTTCTATTTGTGGTATACATGACCCTACATGGTACACATGTTTCTTAGTGTGGTATTCATGTTTCTATTTGTAGGATACATAATAAACCAATAGAGTATTGTAAGACAGGATGTCATTTTTAAAAATGTTAATACCAAGATGAAACATGGTGATCATTACCCGGATATGGGATAATCAAATAGCTACATGTCTCAACAGTTCTAGTATGTAACATTAAGTGTAACATAATGTATACTTATCAATTCTTTGTTAGTCAGCTTTTAATTTTGGGTGTTACTAAAATATGGACAACATACCCAGCTAGAAGGCATACTTCAGATGTGTTGCGACAACACGTGCAAATTACACACATAAAAGGTGTTCCGAACGGAAACGTTACAGATCTATACGGTGGCAAAGAGGTGACATGCTTGTGTAGGTTTTTATTTATCTGTGCGCATGAGATACTAGGTCGTGGCCACGAGTTCCTAAGTCGTGGCTTCGAGATAATTAAGAGGTGCGCACGAGATACTATGTCGTAGCTACGAATTACTAAGTCGTGGCTACGAGATAATTAAGTGATGCGCACGATATACTTTGTCGAAGCCGCGAGTTACTAAGTCGTGGCTACGAAATAATTAAGTCGTGGGAACGAGATACTATGTCGTGGCCACGAGTTACTTAGTCTTAGGCACGAGATAATTAAGTCGTGGGAACGTGATACTATATCGTGCACGGTGGCCACGAGTTACTAAGTTGTGTGCACGAGATATTTAAGTCGTGGGAACGAGATTCTATGTCGTGGCCACGAGTTACTTAGTCGTGGACACAAGATAATTAAGTCGTGCGCACGAGATACTATGTCTTGGCCACGAGTTACTTAGTCGTACGCACGAGATAATTAAGTGGTGCGCACGAGATACATGTCGTGGTCAAGAGTTACTTAGTCGTGGACACTAGATAATTAACAAATCAGAGTAAAAACAAACACATGTCACCTCTGTGCCGCCGTAATTCAGCTCAAATAATGACAAAACTTCACTTAGATGTAAAGGAAGTTGCAATTTACTTTGCCATTTTTGCGAAATTATATATATATACGTAATTATTTGAATCAGAAGTATGATTGCGAAAAAATAATGAACGAAACGAAACCTTTATTAACAAAAGATAAAACATGAACACAAATCATAACATTTTTATAACCTCTTTTCCGGTTTCAAAATAGTAATATTTCAGTAGTAACTAAAAGAGAAGGGAAGATAGATATGAATTTGAGATTCTGTTTTACAATAAATCTGGTTTTAAAATAATAATTTGGTCTGCATAATAATTTTTCTTGGGTTTTACGTCCACCATCACAGTATAGGTAATATGTTTACAGATGGAGCCGATGTCCCTCCGTGCGCTATTTCAGGCACAAACGGGCACCTGAGTAGAACCACCGACGTTCCGTATGAGTCTGTATAACATAGTGTCTGAATAAATATAATAACATTGTTTCCTTGTTACACACATGTATAATGTAAGACATTGTCCAAAAAAGGATTTTATACACGGCACATATGATGGACTCAGAGTCACGTGATGTCTATGTATAGATAATGGCACTTTTTATCTCACAAAATTGGCTTGATATATTGTACTGATAAGTTTACATGACGGACAGACTAGTAAACAGTGAATCAAACCCTGTACATGTACTGATGATCAAATTAATAACACTTAAACTGAGAAATGTCCATCTAAAGTATGTATAAAACAAAAGACACCAAACTGTCACTATAGTAACAAATGCCCAGAAAAGTATTGCACCTATAGAATACAGAATTAAATCTCTCTCAATATCAAGATTTTGATTAAAATCATAATTATTATCGTCTGTTTGTTGTTTATGTTCATAGAAAGTTTTCAGAAAATTCTCCTTTTCGCGCCATCTTCCTTCAAGCCAAATTACCAGATCGTTGTCACTGGTGTCAGGAAGCTCACTGGCTTTATATGTCTTCACTGTGAACACAATTTCTCTAGGGATATTTCCATTTAGAAGATCGGATTCATTTTGAAGTATATTTTGGGGGTATGCTATTGTAACATCTATTACTTGTTTTAAATTGTTATATAATTTCATGTAACCAAATACAGATGTAAATCCTGTTGTCCTTGGGTGAAGGACGTACTCATACTCCGGAAGATCGTTTTTCTTTGCATATTGTTTACTTTTATTACGCGTGTACGGGGTAAAGTCCGTTCCTTCTGGAAAAAATAACAATTGTGGGTAATAATTTACGCACTGGAAATGTTTCAAAGATGTTTCGATACGAATTTTATCAAGATCCCAATTCCTTTTCAAAAATAGAAACTGCTTTGCTTGCATAGCCCATCCTGCACCTGGTGCGTGACGTAGTTCATCCTTTAATGATATTTTAAACCTCCTTAATGTGCTATATCTGGCTTGTACTGCGAAATAAAACAACCAATCAAGTCTCGTCCGATGGTTCATGATAATAAGAGAACTACAATATTTGTCTATATTAGAAACATCACCATTCACTACAACTTTAACACCATACAAAAGTTCAAAAGCGGCTACAGCGAGCGCAAACCACGTGCTTATAACGGTATCAATTATCCAGCGTGCACTTGACAATCTTAGAACAAATACGGTAATAAACAGCGGTGAAAATACAACAAATCCAAGAAATGCGGTCAAAGTGAGCACCATAACAAACGACACACCACGACACCGCTGTTTCAGTACAGATAAATAATCCATTGCTGTTTCTATTAAACTCATCTTTATAGTAAACACCACTATAATAAGTTAAATCTATTCCATGTCATACAATGTTGTGATGCGAAGTTAATTAAGCGATACTTCTAAAATACAGTATTTATGCACACGTGATACATTCGCTGTACACGAACTTGAAAATGTGTGTATACAGTTTAATAGAGTGAATTAATTAAATCCGTGTCACACACTCCTTCCGGCAATATGTAAACAAATGAACATCCTGCACTATGAATTACTATAACTTGTGTTACGTGTACAAGGTAAATCCCTCAGTATCTACTTGAAAATCTATCTATAACAACCCATCTAACATCATATACACGCCGTACAGTTTGTCTGTATCGGGACGATTTTTTCGTTATCAACAGGTTGTGTAGCGTGTGTATACTTTCCCATGCGATACTTTTATTACATTTTAACTAAAAATAACTGTTTCCTTGGTCGCCAGTTTACCGTATCAATTTCTTAATCGACCATCTTTTACATGAATATCTTGCCAAGTTTAAATTTATCTACAAGAAATACGCAGCGACGTCATAAATTACAATTAATCAATTTTCTAAACAGCAGCTGCTAGACACTGACCTAGCATTTTGTATTCTATAGTTCTGATAAGTTATCTAAGTTTTCATTTAAAGTTATTTAGTATCCTCGTCTGTTGCGTTAAAGAGATAAACTTTTCTCATCTTTGGCTAAAATACTTTAATTACGGAAATTTAATGCTGCAATGACTTAATCTAGAAAGTTCTCAGATTTGATTGAGAGAATATATAACTCTATGAAAATTACGCTAGATATAGGCTAGCTATATTTATTGCTAAAAAGATTGAATGGTTCCTTCATTTGAACTCGACCTGACGACGACTTAAGACAATTCCGATTAAAGTTCAACATTGCAGCATTAACAAATGTCGTAAAATACTTTCAAACAATAACTGGTTAGCGGCTGCGCCAGTCTTGACCAATTTAATTTTGTAAATGCTTACTGATTATCACTAACCTCTGCATGGAAACTGAATATTCTTGAACACACCAAAAGCATTTATCTAAACACTGTATTATATAAAAAAAAATCTAGTGTGCAAAATTTCTCGATACCTTATAAAAGATAAAGATAGAACATAATTATACATATATTTGTCACAACTTTTCATTTGTTGTGATGACGAAATAAAAACTATATATTTTCTGTATTTTTATTTTGTAGCTTTTACTGTGTTTTAAAACATTAATCTGTTGAAAGTTTTGTTTTAAATAATTTAAATTAATGCGAAACACTGACGTGGATCCTACCACGACATATTTTAGACTGTTTATTTTAATGAGGGAAGATGGTCCTGACCCGAGTAGAGCTCGAACCCATGATCCCTGTGTTGTGAGGTAGACACCTTAATCACTTTGCCACCGATCAACTTACATTTTATTAGACGTAGCGTGCACATCCATAATTTAATGATATTAAATTGGTTGTTTCCGTACTCCTAGGTCACTTATATACGTGATAAATCAAACTAAATATTAACATTTAAATTTAGTTAATTGTTTTTCGAAGGCATATTGCACCTTAAGTTATATAATTACATGTGTGTGGATATTGCCGTTGAATAGAAACCGAACAATCCGAAATGAACTTGAAATAAATTAGGAAAGCCGACGTTACTTTATAGTTTATATATTTAGTATCACATTTGTATAATATTATAAAATTACCGCACTTACTTAAATAATTTAAATGTTTTATATTAAAATCAAATTTAAAGTTATATCTATGTCATACACCAAAGTTCATGTATTTAAGAAGGTTAACATCCATTTTCCGCCAGCTATCCTTTTTTATTTATTTATTTATTTATTTATTTATTTATTTATTTATTTATTTATTTATTTATTTATTTATTTATTTATTTATTTATTTATTTATTTATTTATTTATTTATTTATTTATTTATTTGGAGGGGGGGGGGGTAAATTTGAGATATTGTTCATAGGCCAGATTCTCCTTCACTATGATTATACAGACATTATAACATTATGTGACGAGTTAAACCCCGTTCCATCTGTACTTGAAGTTAAAAGAATTAATGTTTTGTTCTATTGCGATGATATGAAAATGAAACTTTGAAAGAAAGAAAAAGAAAAGTAACAAAACTAGGGAAGGGAGAGCGGGTTTTTTGGACGGTATTTCAAGGGAGACAAATACACCATGCATATTTAATTGTAAGTTCATAGTTATCTCTCTTTATTAAAATAACTTGCGGTATATAACAGTAACAGAAATAATTATGTTGACAGTTTTTCATATCATACATGAAAAGTAAACGGAAGAACTATATACTATTTTGAATGTAGTCGGTAAGTGTGAGATACATGATATGATATGACATATAGCTGATAATAAAATGTTCTAGAACAAAATATTGTTATTTGACATATAAATGTTCATACTTAATCAATTTAGAAGTCTATGATTATTTTGTTTTCCATAAACATTTCATAAGAATATCTAAATGTTATATTTCTTTTGTTTTAAATATTTCCACTTTAAATCCATTTTGTATCATGTTTATGTAGCGCTTCTAATGGTCATCATTTCAAACTTATATATTACTTTAATAGTCTGTATAATATCACGGTTTTTATTCAAATTAAGTGCATGCAGCTTTCTATATGTATACAAAATATCATGATTTTTATTTTCTAATAAAAAAACATCCCCCATTTTATCCATTTTTTTCCTCATTTTCTTTACCTCTATGTTCCGGATCTTTTATTTAATGAAACGAAAGTCACTGGGGCGCTAGAAATAGCTCTCGGATGCTGTTTTGAAGAAGGCTTTAAAGCGATATGATGCACTTTTCCCAGCTGAAATATATACATCACAAGGGATTCAACAGCCATTCTTAACCAAAGGTGACAGTATCAGTGTTTGGAAACCCCACCCTACCCCTGGACCCCTTCTACAACCCTGAATAAAATAATTCAACACTCTAAGGCTTACTATAAGATACCAAAAAACAAAACCACATACATTGTATAAAATACATGTAATAATAATAAAAAAAAATTCCACCATCAAAATTATAGTTACAGAAAGATGGAAAGTCTACTATATACTCGTTTGCCAAACAATGCGAAAGACGGTTGTAGCAGGGGTCCAGGGGCAGGGTGGGGTGGGGTATCCAAACACTGATAATATCACCTGTGTTCTTAAAGGGACTCCACTGAGGTTTTTTGAAGTGAAGGGACCGAAAATATTTTTTTCGAGATTTTTGTATAACTAGATGTATGTCTAGACCAATAACTCATGTACAAAATTTCAGATCATTCGCTCACTCCGTTTCCCAGAAATAATCAATTTTATTGTGCAAATTGGCCCAATAAATGAAAACCGTTTAAACGCCTTTCACTCAAATCGGCCAAAAATCGCATAAAAATCGATTATCAATTTAATGCCGTGTATATGTATGTATCATCTATTGCTTGGTTTCAAATTTAAATATACCAGTTGATTTCAGAAAGAATTTTAAAATTTATTATTTTAGGCTATTGGACCTCAGTTGAGTTCCTTTAAAATGGTCACATCGTGTAGTCAGAATATTAACCATGCAGATAATATTTTGTTAATCTTCCCTGAAAGATGATCTTAGTGTTTTAGTACTTGACCAGTTGCCTGTAAGGTGGGAGATTTTACAGTCTATTCTTCTACCACTCCTGTCGCTGTCTCCCGTTTGTAATAATCAATTATTTAATTCTATATTACACTTTAATATATCAGTTTATGTGTGACAGCTTAAACGACTTCTTCTGATATGTCGATATTTTTTGTGAATAATTTGAGAACATTTGTTTCGGGATAGAGGGCTCCAGCCAGGTTGATACCACTGTGCTAGTTGAGCTTCTTATAGAATACATGTAATTATAAGATTTTCATTTGAACTGAACACGTTTTTCTGTCATCAACTATCTGAAAATTAAGTTGTAAGGTTATCTTGTTTTGAAATTATCAAGATATTAGCAGGGTGATTATAGCATACACTATAAACTCATGCATCTAGTTAACCTATTTAACTGAATTATTTCACAAACTGAAATAGTTAGAATGACAAGTTAATGTGATACGCTAGTCACGTTCATTCTCAAAATGTTCATTATTCTGTATAAACACAGGTTGAAAATTGACTGACCGAACTGTTTGATTTGATAGATTAAATGAACAACCTTTCCAGTCAAAATGACACAAGTTTGATATAAGTTTTGTGTTCATTTTTATAATGTCAGGTAACATTTAACGTATCTTTATGACTATTTTAGTCCTATTGTTTAGCCCCTATAAAATAAAATTGTTTCTTAAGGTATTTTAAACCTTACAAAAATGTAATAATAAGAGGATATTTTTTCGTTTGAGTGAAATATGGAATATATTTTCACGAAACATGATAAAATGCCACATATTTTCACGAGCCGGGACGGCGAGTGAAAATATGTGACATTTTATCATGTTGAGTGAAAATATATACCATATTTCACGAAAAACGAAAAAATAACCTTTTTATTTAATTTCATTATCAAAGAAAAATGGTTACGAAACCTATTGCTTGCTACGCAACTGCAATTGTACAGCAAAATATTATTGCGTCTTGTCTTGCACGCGATATTTGGCGCTACATTGTGACGTCACGTAAACAACTGTTTAAACGTCTGTACAGCGTTAATAACTGAATTAAAGATATTGGTGTTCGGATTTATTTTCTTAGTTAGACCATTTTCTATCATTCTAGATAGTTTTCAAAGCAAAATTCAACAAAAATTTGTTTTGTATTTATCAGATTTTTCGAACAAAATGGCGAAAGAAGTCCCTAAGAATAAATATGAGTTTTGACTCCGCCCACTTTCATATTTATATTTCATATTTATTTTTAAAAAATATGAAATATATTTGACTGATATAGCACCATATTTCATGGGAAAAATTAAATAATACCTTGCATTCTGCCTTAAAAAATAACAGAAGTCTACATAACAGTCCAAATAACTGTAATAACTGTAAGGATTTTATTTATGAACATGTACTTACTAGTATATAAAAGACGAATAAAATAATAAAAATATTGTTATACTTACAAGCTCTCCATCATATCGTTTGATTTGTCTTATTGATTGTTTTGTTTGTTTGATTGGGTTTTACGTCACACCGACACAGTATACTAGGTCATATTGCGACGTTCCAGCTTTAGTGGTGGAAGAAGACCTTCCGCACGAACGGGCACCTGAGTAGAACCACCGACGTTCCGTAAGCTAGCTGGATAGCTTCCTCACATGAAAGAATCCAAATTTAAGTCGGGATTCGAACCCACAGCGGTGAGGGGCAAGTGGTTTGAAGTCAACGATCTTAACCACTCGGGCACAGACAGTGTCTTATTGATACATGTAGACATTTAATTTGACAATAGAAAGAGTAAAATGTTTATGTAATAATTTACATTGTTGCTATAATTTGACAGTATATATAGTTAGTATGGAAAGTTTGCGTTATCATTCACATTATCATCTTGGTGTTATCAGTATAATAAGTGCTGAGTGTAATGATAATTATAAATATTTACCTAGTTAAAAACAAGAGGTTGATGACTTTATGTTACCGTATAATCTAGTCAGTTAAATTATTGACCCCACTACCGTGTTATATAAAACAATTAAATATAAAACTCGCCAACCTACATAGATATTTGTTATAATGACTACCTTTGAAGCATTACATTCTTAAAATAGAGATGGATATAACACACAATTATAATCTAGCATTTACAAAACAAACAATTATCATATAGTATTTATAATACACCAAATTATCATATAGCATTTAATAAACACACAATGATCTTTAAGTATTTATAATACAAATAATTATCACATAGCACAACTAAGTACACAATTAGAACCAAATTGAATCTCCGTGTTGGTTCCTCGGGAAGATTGGTTCCACTACAGTGCTGAAGTCTGAATACTGGTTGAGCGGTGCTGGGGGGATATGTTGCATTCCGAACATTATCTCATATGAGCAAACGCAATCAAACTGAGTCTATTAATGATTTTGACTGACCTGGTGTTTATTATTCACGTATGTAATTTGTTATAATTGATGTAAAAATGACATGGTAATTTATAAAAATTAACATAACATAAGTAAACAACGAGCTTTTAAACCTGAAAACATTTAAAAGAAAATACTTTGTAAAATATATAATAATACTGTTTAACGTTGGCGTTCTCTTTGAATGTACTTTTCATATTTTTTTTACTGATATTTTAGTACGATTGGTTAAAAAACAACAAAGTTTTATTTGTTTTCTATAGAGTATTATTTTAATTGTAAAACTATAGTCCCTTTCTTTTTACTATATTTCGACATAATAAACGTACATTGACCAATGGTCATTTACTTCAGATACCAATATTAATATAAAACAACATTTTCATAAAACGCACAGTCAAATTAAACTTTTCACAGTCATAATTATAAAATATTTATAATAAAACATCACCATTTAACAAAGAAGTAAACACGTATTAAATGTTCGTGATAATTTTATTATGCGTAACTACATAATTGCAATATACATATATAACGAATGGATGAATAAATAAATGAAATAAATAAAAATGTTTATGAATTGAACAGAATACTTGCAACAATAAGCTAAACATTTCATACAACAAGAAATGTTCATAATTAGTTCTTTCTTGGTATCGTGTACTATCAACAACAAGCTTGCTTTGTCTATAAATTATTATTCAAAGTTTGTTCCTGTCTTTTCCACACAATATTGTAGGTATGAAAGCAAAGCTCATATGTAAATTATAGTTTATTAAATATGTTGTTGAATCCAACAAATGTACTTAGGAAAACACCTATCACACAACCGAACAAATATGTCATACGGAACATGTAGAAAAACGACAAATAATACAATGTTATGATAGCAAATAATGTCCAAAAAATTATAGCACCAATCATATATAACTTGGTGTCTCTTTCAATTTCTGTGTTCTGTTCTTTTGTATATCCATTGTCATTACTATATTGTTTGTTGCTATAGAAACACTTCAGAAATTCTTCTTTTTCATACCAGCGTTCCTCCAGCCATCTGGTCAGTTTTGGCTCGTTGTCTGTCGGTACTTCATCAATGTCATAACAACGTAACGTAAAAACCACCTCTCGTGGAATGTTTCCAGTCACGAGATCAGTTTCTCGTTGAAGCATCGTGCGAGGATAGGAAATAGTGACGTCAACAATCTGATCAAGGTTATTACAAGTTTTCATATTTGTTACAACTGACGTAAAACCAAGCGTCCTTGGGTGAAGAACATAATGGTAATCGTCAAGTTCATTTTTCTCCGCATAATCTTTGCTCTTCTGTCTACTGATGCCCTGTAAATCAGTGCCTTCTGGAAAGAATAATAACTGAGGCGGCAAACAGTTCTGTTTGAAATGTTTTAACGTTGCTTCTACACGGTTTTTGTCAATATGCCATTTCCTTTTCAGGAATAGAAACTGGGCTGTCTGCATTGCCCAGCCTGCTCCCGGTAGATGACGAATCTCATCTTTGAGCGCTATCTTGAACCGTCGTAGAGATCCGTATCTCGCCTGGATAGAGAAGAAAAACAACCAGTCCAGTCTGGTTCTGTGGTTCATGATAAATAAAGTACATCTGTTCTTGTTTAAATTTCTGACATCTCCTTGAATCACGATCTTCACACCATAAATAAGTTCATATATACCAACAGCAAACGTAAACCATAAACTCGTTAGTGTATCAAATATCCATTGTGCAGACGAGTGTCCAAACAGGAAACCCGGCAAGTACAAAACACTTAGTACAATAAAACCGCTGAGAGAAGTGAACAATAGTGTCAGTACAAACAAAATACCTCCTCCCAAACGTCTGTACTTTTTCCATTCCTCCATAGTGATAATGTTCATTTACACTTATTTCGCAAGTAACGAATATTTTAACCTTGCATTGTTCCACTTACAATGTTAAATTGTTTCATATTCACATATATAGTTTAAGCACTAATACAGTAAATCGAGTAAATAGTTCAACGCAATTGAAGTGCACTATGACCGTTTATTTTTCTCTAAATAAATCATAACGATATAGGAGTGACTAATTTTATCACTGTTCAAGTTATCTTATTGTTAATACCGACCCCTATCAACAGATAAATCACGTGACATCATATATATATACATGTATACAATTAAATCTTAATTCAATATAGTTTATTGTCACGAATGCATGTAATATAAACCATGTACAAATGTATTATATAATAATAATAATAGGAAGATAATTAATACAAATAAATGCGATGCTGTTTATTATTCATAATCTATTAACTAACATGAGATGGCGGACCAACGTGACTTTTGGCAAAAGTACTAACATAGCACCGGTTCAGATGAATGGATTGCCTTGAAATAAAATGCATAAACTCGACATATAGCATGCAAGCTGTAACCGATTTTGTTTGATGTCGCTTTCACTTCTACTATCTTTTTCCAAATGATTCAGTGGATGAAAGAGAGAGAGAGAGAGAGAGATTTCACACAAAGTCTCTCTAATATATAAGTATAACAGTTTGGTTCAAATTGTAAAATAAAAATGTAAGATCAATAAATAAAAACATGAAGAGAGCACATGTCAGTCACGAAAAACAATTACCACACAGGATTAACTTATTTCATTTGATTAAATTACTTCCAGGGGGAATGATTTATCCGTTTATCTTCAACTAGTATATATTAAAGCTCATCATGTGCCATGTTCTTATCTGTTCAATCCTTAGAGAATATAACATTCATTTACTCTAGTAAAAGGTTGAACTTAGGTAAAATTAAAGTTTTCCGACTAAATACTTTACAAGTAATTAAGGCAGCATAGAAAAGCGATGATGTGACAGTGAAAGTGCTGGTTAATGAAGATTGAATTTTGATTGAAGCTTTCAGTGAGAAGCAATTAGTAATATGTAATTAATGTGGCCCTGCTGCTACTCTAGAGACAGTCTTGATGTTTCTACTTCATCAAATAAAAAGCATAAACATTCATATACACAACACAAATTACAAACGTTCTTGGAGTAATGAGCAGATGAAATAATTGAACGTTTTAAAGTAAGTAAAAAAGGTTAAACTAACTAACAGAGGAACAATTACCGGAATTAATTGAACAACAATATAACAAGTAAATTTCCCTAGACATCGAGAACATGCTCGTCTAAAGTAAGAAAGGACTGAATGAACATTTGTGAACATAAAGTCGCTGAAAAGAAAGTTACACGGTGTTTTATTGTATTTTCTTTATCACGGAAATAGCCGCGTAGTGCGTTCCATAGACGATGGTGAGCAGTACAAACGACCCGAGTCTTCAAGATTTACCATTCTTGTCAACTTCCAAATCTATTGGACCAGTAACCTGGGACGATGCTACATGGATTCTTACCAGTTCTTTTATCATATTCACCATGCAATCAGGTAAAAGCATTCTTTTTCTGTTGAAATATTCACTAAAATTTCATGTCAAATTGTTTATGGAACGTGTGATTACTGTAAAAGAATGGCACACTACATAATTCTAACAAATATATGACAACTTCTAGGTGTGTGTAAATTTATTCAATTATATTTCATTCATATTATGGCTTCAAGTCTAATTAAATATATGAATATCAAATATATGAGTATTTTTTCTCAGCTTTGTCGATCATGACTCACGGTACAAAACTGTTCACGGTATGGAAGAACATACGTTAGCGTCAGTATGACTAAGTTTGTAAAGCTGCGGTACCGCGTTCGAGTCCCCGCCAACCTGCACACTATTCCTATCGTGTGACATTTGGCGCCGATCATTAAAGCACGGAGTAATGTAAATTATTTTCTCTCTGTGATAGATGTATTTATAATAAAACTACAAAAAAATCATATCCATACAGCTGGCTTATTGTTATTCAACAATTCATTATATTCCACATATTGTGATCTTAATATATTATAACACAAAATGTATCTATCAGAACTTCATTGCATAATGTTCATGTGTAAATAGCGAGAAATTTTGACATTTCTTGTATTAGTTTGGTAACTTTCTTCTTTTCTCCCCACAAATCAGCTAGGATAATACATGCGCCATTCTCTTCTAAATTCACTTCAATCTTATTGTGATATATTGATGAAATATATTTGCACAAAAATAAAGACTACTAGAATTTTTTATGTTATGCTATCAATGTATTTGAGGTCATAATTAATTTTGTCTTGTAAAAGGTTATAAAAACACATGGCCGCTCTTTTTCATGAGAAATTCACACATTATTCTATTAAACATAACAAATGTCCGTGTCTTTTTTCACTAGAACATTAATTTTAATGGACTTAATCATTTTAGATATGCGTAGAATAATTTTTGTAATAAAGTCGAGATGTTCAAGTCTATCATCATAATTAAATGATTTAATTTTCCGACCGAAGGAAGTCTAAAATCAGTTTGGCTGCCCGTTAAATTTATATAAAAAACGAATTATCATTGGTCATTTTAAAATTACAAACTGAAATCAAGGAATCCCATTGGCCATTCTAAAATAGAAAGGATTTTTTTCATCATTCTGAATTTCTGAAATAAATTTTTAAGGATAGTTTTAAAATAAAATATAAAGGATATAAATTGTTTTTGCCATTATGAAATAAAATGCAAAGGATAGTTCTATAAAATGTACAGGATAGCTCTTTAACAGTCTAGTTAAATTACTCAGCTATTTAAGTTCTTTTTAACCATACTTCCTTCCAAACTTTGTTTAGATCTCATTACATTTTCTAGTAAACAGTTTATTTTACACAAGAACTTACATACTGGGTTATTTACACAAGAACTTACTGAGTATAATAAATTTTACCCAAAATAACGAGACCACCAATAACGTTCACGATCCTGTAAGTTAACTCATGCATATTAAAATAACGGAACTTTAAGGTACCCTCAATTTATGATATTTAATAAGTGTCTAATATATTATATGATCATTTTTGTGTTCAACTGATATAATGTTTATGATGTTCATATAGTTTTGCATAGTAATCACGTATTCATAAAATTTAAATGCCAACTGACTGCGTAAATGTTGGTGTTAGAAATTGGGTTCACTTACACTAACACGACATATTCCTTTATTTTACAGTGTTCATTTTTTTCAATATTAAAAACCATACAAGAAAGTATTGATATGTCACTGCCATTGCAAGCATTGCTAACATTTCTATATGTATGGAAAACTTAGTAATAAAATGTGCAACTTAACCAGTTTCATTTTTTTTTCACAATAGAATAATTTATATTTTGAAAAACGGAGTGTACGAATGATCTGAAATTTTGCTCACAAGTAATTGGTCTACATCAAATGGAACATTGGTCTCGAAAACAGGCCCTTCATGTGAAAAAACCTCAGTGAAGTCCTTTTAATATGGAAGACAAACATATAACGGAATTATCCCCGTTTCTCGTATAATCAAGGTTTCTCATATTATCGGGTCATGCTTAAAACAAATTGAATTGAAACTCCAGGTTCTGAAAAGGTGTCTTTTGCAGTACTGATATATACCAAGTCAACCCTCAGATTAAAACGTTCACAAAAAATATGTTTTATATGAAAATATCAGTGAATGCAGAAAACTGTGTTAAAATTTCAACTATAATATTGATAATACTATAGTTAAGTTTTGTTGAATAATAAAGAATTAACAGTGTTATCAATTATTTGAAATGATGTACAGTATAGATTAAATTATCATATAGCGACCAGCCTCTAGCAACAAATCAAATTCCCATATAATACGAGAAAGTACAAAAAATGGTTCATCCAGTAGTTGAGAGCTTAGTATTAACTAAAACTGTTTTCAGATATGATGTTTTCTTTGTTCATAATGTCTAATAGGGGTATTTTTCTGTGTATAGGGCAAAACATGGCCATCTTAAATTTTTATGTAAAGTTCGTCTATGCCAGTTTAGGCCTTAGCCCCACGACAATACGGGAAAACAGGGTATATGTCATACATAAGTACTAGCACACTTCACCTTCACTAGACTGTGCCTGTTTGTCACCTTCTTGTGTAGCATTGTTTAACTTGTCTTACAAGTAGTTATCACATTTTGATTGAGTTCTTTGCCAACTTTTGGCAGTTATATTATCTATGCGAAAAAAATCTCTTTAACAAATTTGGATATAAATATAACCTTTGCAATGCAAAACCTATTTAACAGATTTGACCGTTCATATAACCTTTGTAATATTAACATATTTACCAAACTAATATCACGTTTTCAATATTAACCTATTTACCAAATTTGACCGTTAATATCACCTTTTAACAAATTTACCAAAACTTGGCCGTAATATTGTTCATATCTTAAAAAAGCAAATTCCTGAATATACTTATTGTTCTTTAATTTACCAGAGTAATATATCCATTAAAGATTTGTATTAAAATGCTTAATATGTACAATGTATTTTATTTTATGAGTTCACAAATTACATTTTGTTTTTATAAGACATGAATAATATTAATTAAATAAGACAATATTTTAGAATGTTTTTGTTAGACATTTAGTTCTCCGTGTAACCATGAAAGGTATTGGAACATTTAATGTTTTTTTCTGGCGACTTAAGTAAATTAGTCGGTGAATGATGAAGAGGTTTAACCTGTCATTCTAGAAATATCCATTACAGGGACCAGTATGATATAATTATATAGATTTAATCAGCTAATACTTAACGGAGAGCCAGATTATAAGATAGGAGAAAGTATGAAAGTTAACACAACCCTCGAGCGAGTTTTACAGAATATACGTGTTTCCATTAGTGACATCCATTAAAACTCTTTAAAACATTATTTGATAATGAAATAACTGATGCTATTTTATTAATGCTGCTTGGGGATATAGCTTTAAATTTCCTCAGTTATGTTTGAATAAGTGTGACTTACATTTAACTATTAATTGATGAAAATTAATTGAAAAATTGTCAGCATATTTTTCGAGCATGCGTGTTATAATAAAATGAATCAATCATCAACATCTTCTAAAACAACGGGATTTAAGAGTCACACCGAGATAACATGGGACGATGCCACCTGGATTTTATCCTGTTCCTTCATGATATTCACCATGCAAACTGGTCAGTAAAATTATTACCTTAACCAATTTATATGATATGGATTATACCATTCTATAAATCTAAGTTAAATTAAAATTTAAGTTAAAAATAAATATTAAAATAAGTTATAATAATTTATCAACAAAAATATCAAATAATCATCTGAACCAAATCTTAAAAAACAAATTCGGAAATGATTTTATTGGTGTATTTGAAGTACCATTGAAGAACGTTTGTTTCACCCTTTTCCCTTTGAAATTTATAAGGCTTAAATTAAATTTACACTGAATCTCCAAAATAAGATATATTATATGCATTTCAAATAACAGTATGCAGATTACTTGACAAATAATAGAATTTAAATTCAAAACCACACAAAGTGCACTAATATAAGTACACTAATATAAGTACAATAATATAAGTACAATAATATAAGTACAATAATATAAGAGAGAATGTGTAAGTTATAGATTTATTCTTGTAAAAACATGCATCCATATTAATTCCCCTTAACTGATTTATGTTTAATAATATATAACGACAGAAGTATATCATTTTGTGAAGACACATGCACAATGTTCATTATTTCTATAACATTCAATTCTCATTACTTATATAACATACTAATTAAGTTCATTCAGTTCTTTAGCACCCAAATACTATCATTGATCATTCTTATTTCTCAAAAGCTTTTTATTTTTCATGTTCTGTTACAGTGTCCAAAACCATCTTTTAATTGGCGACAAGGTTTTGTATTGGCGACAAGATTTAGTATTTTGTTTTGGCGACAATATTTTGTATTGGCGACAAGATTTAGTATTTTATATTGGCGACAAGATTTAGTATTTTGTATTGGCGACGATATTTAGTATTTTGTATTGGCGACATGATTTAGTATTCTGTATTGGCAAAAAGATTTAGTATTTTGTATCGCCGACAATAACTAGTATTCTGTATTGGCAAAAAGATTTAGTATTTTATAATGATGACCAAATGCCTCTTTGTTGACATTTTACTTCTTTTATGTCAAGTTACCCGTCATTCAATGCTGCCTTTTTTCAGATAATAAGTGTTTAACATGATCTACAAACCATTTTATAATATATAAAACACTCATATTTAAGTACCAAAATCAATGCTCAATATTCCTGTCTTGCAGCAAAATTAATTAAACATACAAAATGTACATAATTTGCCAGGTTTATACGGTGAAGGTAAGAAATGACAAAGACGGCAAAGTAGATATAGAAAATAAAGGGCATATGTCAATTTAACTATGGTTATTGTGACAAAGGATGTTTATTGTTTTAGGGTTTGGACTGTTGGAGGCCGGGTGTGTATCTAGGAGAAATGAGGTTAACATCATGGTCAAAAATGCAGTGGACGTTGTTTTTGGTGGCATCACTTACTGGGCATTCGGTTTTGGGTTAAGTTTTGGCAACAGTCCAGGTACAAACCCATTCTGTGGAATTGGGTATTTCTTTGTAGATGCGCCACATGCAGACATGGGAATAATTTTCTCCACTTACGTTTTTCAGTTGTCGTTTGCGACAACAGCTACAACTATTGTTTCTGGCGCGATGGCTGAAAGAACAAAGTTAATAAGTTACATTGTGTTTTCATTTCTCAATACTATAGTCTATTGTATACCAGCTCATTGGGAATGGGCGTCAAATGGATTTTTGAGAACACTGGGTGTTGTAGATATCGCAGGGAGTGGGGCTGTTCATTTAGTTGGCGGAGTGTCGGCATTCGTTGCAACATTCCTTCTTAAACCTCGACAAGGGCGATATAGGGAGGGGCAGAAAGTGACAGACAACCCGCTACCGATGGGCAATCCAGCAAATGCCCTCATAGGAATGTTTATGTTATGGTGAGGGTTTTTTATCTTATGTATTTTTCTTTCATTTCTGGCAGAAGGTATATTAAATGTCAACTCTTTTAACGTTGCCACTGAATTTATGAGTCTTGCCTGTATATTATGTACATTATAATTTATAATGTATTCAACATATTGGTTCTTGTAATACATTGTATTTCATATATAGTTACATTATGTTATAGAAGTTTAGCAACAGAAATTAAAATCACATGGATACATTATCAAGATTGTCATGTACTGTACATGTTTTTCACATTTTTCATGAAATATAGCTCAATCTCAGTTTTACTACTTGTATAATATACACGTGTTGCGATATTGTATTAAATTAACATATAGGTGGGGATGGCTGGCATTTAACTGTGGCAGTACGTTTGGTATATCTGGTGGAAAATGGAAATTAGCAGCAAAGTAAGTCGTCAACCATTTTAACGCACCAGTATATAACTTTAAATATGCTATATTAACCTAAATCAAAACACGATACAAAGCTATAAAAGCAAACTGAAACTTTGATATGCATTGTTCATATGAACCATTGATGACTTGATTGCCAAACACGTTTCTTCTAAGTTCTAGTAAACCATGAGCTTTGCCAAAGCTAAACGAACCACACGCTGGTGATCATTTAGTTTTGGTATACCTCAGGAATATGTAAAAGTTTGATTGTTGGATACTCGAGTGATCATTTTTTTTTGGTATGTCCCGGGAACGAACGACAGTTATCATTTAGTTTTGGTATACCTCGAGCATACTCAAAACATCAGCAAAATAATTGTTATATCTTGTTTGAAAATTAAAAGCGCTATATTTGATCAACTCGTGTTTTTGTCCTATTATAGCTGTGGAATATGAATTAATTATTTTTTTCAGGGCAGCTATAACAACATTGAATGGATCAATGGGTGGAGGGATTGTTGGTATAATATTGTCGTACGTTTTTTATCTTTACCTGTTATAATACTATTTACATTAATTGTTGTTGTTGTTTTTTCAGAATAAAGTATAAAATAATTCAGCGTTAATTCAGCCTATTCACAATGCTCATTATTGTATTCTAGTAATGACGGGATCTGTATATAGAAGCATGCTACCGTTACATTAGAATATTTGGTTTAATGTAAATACATATCTTACTATTTCAAAGTTGACAACCATTGACAAGATGGTTTTGATTTTAAAACTTTGTTTTTATAACTATATCACAAATGATTATTTTATTACAAATTAAAAGTTACTTTATAGACATATTCTTTAAAAAACGAATCATTTGAATGCATGTTAATACATAAATAATACATAAAAGTAAATTACTTTAATTCGCCATTGCATCGGCTATTTGTCAGAATAAACTACAAATCTATATTTAAAAAACTTATGGTTAATCATTTAAATTATATCAAATGGTTAATGAAGATGTTGAATATTTATACAATCTATTCTTTCGTCTTTGCATTTTTGCCCTTCGCGGAATGCGCATGCGTGAAATGCTACTTCCGTTTCTATGGAAATATCATATTGTAAAAGGGTCTATGTTGCTTGGAAGTGGTCGTCGGAACCCATGGGTATTGAATTCGTTGAACAGAGTGAATGAAGTGTATACGTAACGAGTACGCATGGGTTACCAATAATGCTTGGAAGTGTACCTCGGGCATGTTGTTTACCTCTGGACAATGGATCGTTTTGTAAAACATATTTACTGTTTTCTGTTTCAGTTATGTGATAAAAAAAGGAACTTTTGATGTTGGTTATTTGATCAACAGTATACTGGGAGCTCTTGTTGGCATAACAGGTAAAGATGTACGATAATTTCTTCTTGGTTGAACAAGTTGATTATTACGTTGACAAATATTGTGTCGTATAATGATTAATAATTATTTTCTAAATGAACCGTTGGCACAAATAAGCATGCTTTCATTGAACGAATGAACGAGGTCATGACAAAACATTGATAAGATATATAAAATATTTTCATTAAACTATTATTTCTAAAGTCGCATTTATAAGAACTATCCCCTGTTAATCCGATGGTACGGAAAAAGCAGGGTTTGAGAACTTTAGAGATGAATAAATCTACGTGCTGTGGTTCTAGATAGATTTATCTCATTCAGGGTTAATGATTCGATATTAAGTGCAAATGTAAAACTCGCGTATGGTAAGCAGATTTAACATGTTTCTTATATGTAATTCTAAAATGCAATTCTATGTAATTCTAATAGGTAGTTCTAATGTGTAGTGCTCATTTTAATTAAAAAGGTAATAGAATGTATTGGCAATGAAATTGGACTTACAATATGTAAATCAATATGTAAGACACCGATGTCAGCTGCTTATATCTGTCTCCTGGCGATATAAATAACATACCCAAAGATACAAAAAGAGACAAAATTACTTTAAAGATAATTAAAGAATAAGTTAACACATATCATGTTGTTACTATGAAACAGTAAGGCATCATGTATGACTGTTTGTCAATTTTACATAAAATATATAATACAGTATGTGTAATCTTGCTTAATCTAAGACAAATCAGTGTCACATATATTTCTTTCAAATTCCACTAAACGTGAAAAGCTGCTGTGAAAGCCCTCCTTGTGTTATGATCAGGTCGTGGGAAGCTTATACAGGTCTTATTTTAGTTTACGTCGGATGTGATATATAGTTTGGTCATTCAAATCTGTTACTATACGTGTTATTTAAACCGTGATTATAGATGCTTTTTGGTTCCTATTTTATTTTAGCTGGCCAGGCGTAGGAAGTTTTGATTATAGGACTGGTGTTACTAATATTTTGCTTTTATTTTATTTTAGCTGGATGTGCCGTGGTCAGGCCATGGGAAGCTGTGATAATTGGTGTCATTGGGGGACTTTTAGCCATTCTATGTATTATCTTAATCGATAAAATCAGAATAGATGATCCAGTAGGAGCTATTGCTGTACATGGTGTTTGTGGCGCATGGGTCAGTATTTAAATGCATATATATTTCATTTCAATTTCATACTGTACGTACAATGTACGTAATTGGTTAAAAACATGTTTATTTAGGCTCCAATGCTGAACGAGTTCTTGCAACCTAAATAAATCACTTTCGAGTCCGCTCCCTGAAACCAACCAGTACTGGGTGTCATATGAAGAAACACTGTCGTGACCCATAGGGTTCGAACCCATGATCTAAGAGTTAATCACTATAGGCCGCCGCTCTCCTATATAATTATACTGACATCATATAAATGAAATCTTTTCAGTACACTGTTTCTTTTTTTCCATCGCAGAATAATTTTTTTAAATGATATTTAGGGTATGTTGTCAGTTGGGTTATTTGCTGCACATGATCCTCTAGAGAACACAACACAGGGTCGGGACGGGCTGTTTCACGGAGGGGGCATGTATCTTCTGGGTGTACAGACACTAGCTTGTTGTGTTATCATATCTTGGAGTGCTGTCGTCAGTGCCATGTTGTTGTTGGTAATGTTAGCAGTTATTATACCAGATTACGTATCACTGTTTATATGCAATAGAAGCTTTAACATTTATGTTATATGTGGCAACGCGTAGTTCTAATAAAAACATATATTTTCTGTTCCGTTTTATCGATAGATCAAAATAAGAATTAAGCGAGGATATTATATCAAGGAAGGATCTTTATATCAAGCGAGGATCTCATATTAAGCAAGGACATTATATCAAGCGATGATATTATATTAAGCGATGATCTTATATTAAGCGATGATATTATATTAAGCGATGATCTTATATTAAGCGATGATATTATATTAAGCGATGACATTATATTAAGCGATGATATTATATTAAGCGATGATATTAAATTAAACGAGGGCATTATATTATCAACCTCCAAGCAATAGAAGTAATTTTACTACATGAATCCGTGACTAAGAAACGTAATTTCTGTGAATTTTATAAGTTATGTAGTTGTCAACTAAGTTGTCTTTCATTGATATTGGCTTAAGCCGAAATCTCTATGAAGAAAATACGGGCTATAACGGAAAATGCCGAATCTCACAACATATGGACCTTAATTGATACACAATACATAAAATATCAGTTTGTTCAAATACTTCATGGTGATTTCATTTTTCTTAGATTTATCACTCATCTTTGATAAATTTGTTTCTTAATTACAGGGAATTAAATTTACCATCGGTCTTCGTCTGAATGAAGAAGAAGAATTGATAGGAGCCGATTACACTGAGCACGGTATTGGAACACCAAATATTATGAATTATAGTGAACGCGGACTAATGTCACCCCCAGCAGTTACCAGGACACAATCAGTATGTTCTGCTAGATCTATATCAACTGCTACAGTTAAATCAATGACAGAAACTTGTAACAACGATATTAACCTTATCTCACGACAAACAACAAAGCGATTCCGTTCTGACAGAGTTGTCCCTGTAAATAATATCCCTGGTGAAGTTAATGCTAATTTTTCATCTCCAGTTGACAATTTATGATCTTAATGATACAAACATGTGAACTGTAAAATGTGAAATTTCTTGATGATTTACGTTCGTCATGAAAATCATTAACGTATGTAACACTTGCCTACGAGTGTGTGAAAATAAGATGATTCAGCAAATATTTCTCTGCAATAAAGATGGCGTCGGCCAGTTTTATGTGATACATAACAGTGACAGGAGCATGTGGCACTATAGCGGGAACTCCTCGTTTAACCTATTATTATAGAAGATGAACTATTATTTAGTAAAGTTGAAGAGACATGTTTTAATCTTTTCAGATATCACCAGAACAATATGATAATAACATTGTTGTACAGTACGTTTATATGTTATACTTTGTCACGTCGTGTTGCTTTATACATTTTAATATTCATTAGTCGATCGTTGTATCAAATGTTACAGAAAGTTGTTTTTATGAACGTACAATTATTTTCTTTGAATCTGTTCAATATAATCCATACATGTTCTTGCCAAACAAATGTCAATTTCCGAAAGAAAATATATCTAGAAATGATCAGTAAAATACTTTGTGTTGTATCTTCCATAAATATGTAACCCTTTTCCATTTACCTTTTCCATTTACCGGCACAAAATTAACTAGATATAAATTTATAAAAAAAAATATTGCTCGTTTTATAGTCCACTTACTTTTTCTGAACATTTCAAAAGTGCTGGAGTACAGATGAGCAGTCACCCAGCTGACACTGTCTTAAAACTGTGCGGGATTATATATTTATTCGTAATAAATGACACCCATACAGTAATAAAAAATACATAAAATGAATAAAAAAGTGCAACATTGTAAGATATGTTAAATAAATAAATCTTTAATATTGCTATGAAAATAGTGCAGTGTAAGAAAATAAATCTGGTCAAATGAATATCTTTGAATTCATAGAACATATAATATTTTCGTAAATCTTTTGAATCTCTAAATCAGTGTGAGCAGCAATTATAAAAAATGACTGACACATATTTGAAATGTTGTCATACTGACGTGAAATAAAAGATAAAAATATGTTTAGAATGGCAAAATGTCTTAAGTAAAGCAGTAACAGGTTTTGATAGCTTACGATAAATAATATTTTTCACATACTGTTCACGTGAATAAAGTTATAACAAATACCGGTAGTTTTTATTCTTAGGTTAGTAGATATATTGTCCATATATAACCCCAACCATATATAATATTAGCGTAAAGTATCAAGCGTTTAAAATGTCGGAAATATAACTATAGGTGACGCATTCCATTTTGAAACTTTCCCAAATAAAGTCATTGGGCAGTCATTGGGCAGTTTAAAATGAAAGAGGTGTTGTATTAGTCAATGATACAAGATTACAATGACATTTTTAAGAATTTAAATCAAATTGAATGATTAAACAAATTTTCTAAACTATATTTAGAAGTATTCTCCGGAGTCAATCGTCAATGGCATCAATTAGCAGTGACGTCAATTAGCAGTGGCGTCATTTAGCACTGAATGGCTTTTAGAAAGCTCATCTTTCAAGCTTTATATATAAAATATAGGAATGATATAGTCTCAGAAAAAACTTTGGTTGTCACAAAAAGGAAAGTGGCCCATGTTAATCACAGAAACAGTCTATAATCTTGCTAAATATATGTTTCCTTCAAATGTTTACATTCTTTTAGAGTCTGTGATTGACCTGTAGAGTCTGCGATTGCCATGTAGAGTATGTGATTGTCCTGTAGAGTCTGTGATTGTCCTGTAGAGTCTGTGATTGTCATGTAGAGTCTGTGATTGTCCTGTAGAGCCTGTGATTGTGCTGTAGAGTCTGTGATTGTCCTGTAGAGTATGTGATTGTCCTGTAGAGTATGTGATTATCCTGTAGAGTCTGCGATTGCCATATAGAGTATGTGATTGCCATGTAGAGTCTGTAATTGTCCTGACAAGTCTGTATTTGCCATGTAGAGTATGTGATTGTCCTACAGACTCTGTGATTGACCTGTAGTTTCTATGATTGCCCTGTAGAGTCTGTGATTGTCATGTAGAGTATGTGATTATCCTGTAAAGTCTGCGATTGACCTGTAGAGTATGTGATTGTCCGGTAGAGTATGTGATTGTCATGTAGAGTCTTTGATTGTCATGTAGAGTCTTTGGTTGTCATGTGAGTATGTGATTGTCATGTAGAGATGTAGAGTCTTTGATTTTCATGTAGAGTCTGTGATTGTTTTGTAGAGTTTGCGATTGTCCTGTAGAGTCTGTGATTGTTTTGTAGAGTATGTGATTGTCATCTAGAGACTGTGATTGTCATGTAGAGTCTTTGATTGTCATCTAGAGACTGTGATTGTCATGTAGAGTCTTTGATTGTTTTGTAGAGTCTGCGATTGTCATGTAGAGTCTGTGATTGTTTTGTAGAGTTTGCGATTGTCCTGTAGAGACTGTGATTGTCATGTAGAGTCTTTGATTGTCATGTAGAGTTTGCGATTGTCCTGTAGAGTTTGTGATTGTTTTGTAGAGTTTGCGATTGTCCTGTAGAGTCTGTGATTGTTTTGTAGAGTATGTGATTGTCATCTAGAGACTGTGATTGTCATGTAGAGTCTTTGATTGTCATGTAGAGTCTGTGATTGTCATATAGAGTATGTGATTGTTTTGTAGAGTTTGCGATTGTCCTGTAGAGTCTGTGATTGTCCTGTAGAGTCTGTGATTGTCTGTAAAGTCTGTGACTGATCTGTAGAGTTTGTGATTGCCATGTAGTGTCTGTGATTGTCATGTAGAGTATGTGATTGTCCTGTAGAATCTGTGATTGTTTTGTAGAGTGTTTGATTGTCATGTAGAGCCTGTGATTGTCCTGTAGAGTCTGCGATTGTTTTGTAGAGTTTGCGATTGTCATGTAGAGTCTGTGATTGTCATGTAGTGTCTGTGATTGTTTTGTAGAGTTTGTGATTGTCCTGTAGTGTCTGTGTTTGTCATGTAGAGTATGTGATTGTCATGTAGTGTCTGTGATTGTCATGTAGAGTTTGTGATTGTCATGTAGAGTCTGCGATTGTTTTGCAGAGTTTGCGATTGTCCTGTAGAGTTTGTGATTGTTATGTAGTGTCTGTGATTGTCATGTAGAGTATGTGATTGTCATGTAGAGTCTGTGATTGTTTTGTAGAGTTTGCGATTGTCCTGTAGAGTCTGTGATTGTCATGTAGAGTCTGTGATTGTTTTGTAGAGTGTGCGATTGTCATGTAGAGCCTGTGATTGTCCTGTAGAGTCTGCGATTGTTTTGTAGAGTTTGCGATTGTCCTGTAGAGTCTGTGATTGTCCTGTAGAGTCTGTGATTGTCATGTAGAGTCTGTGATTGTTTTGTAGAGTTTGCGATTGTCCTGTAGAGTCTGTGATTGTCCTGTAAAGTCTGTGACTGATCTGTAGAGTTTGTGATTGTCCTGTAGTGTCTGTGATTGCCCTGTGTTGTCTGTGATTGTTTTGTAGAGTGTGTGATTGTCATGTAGAGCCTGTGATTGTCCTGTAGAGTCTGTGATTGTCCTGTAGAGTCTGTGGTTGTCATGTAGAGTCTGTGATTGTCTTGTAGAGTTTGCGATTATCATGTAGGAGTCTGTGATTGTCATGTAGAGCCTGTGATTGTTTTGTAGAGTTTGCGATTGTCATGTAGGAGTCTGTGATTGTCATGTAGAGCCTGTGATTGTCATGTAGAGTCTGTGATTATTTTGTAGAGTTTGCGATTGTCCTGTAGAGTCTGTGATTGTCCTGTAGAGTCTGATAGTCCAGCTAGTCGTACATTCTATTTGGCAGTCTTCAGAACTTTCTTAGGTTTTTAAATACAAAATATATAAATGAATTTGATTGTTTCATTTTAACTAGCTGGTGTTCAGGAAAAATTTACACCGAAAGTAGTATTTTTCAATTAAAGGTATGAAATATATTGAAACATGTTTGAAGATATGCATGCATGCCCTTTCAATAAGTAGAAATTTGCATATATTGTTAACCCTTATGATGCATCATATTTCATGCCAAATTCGTTCTTTTAGATTTCTAAGTTAAAGCATGCACGTATTTAGATAAATTATTTTATTTTAACAGTAGTTTTGGATACCTTCTTCAGTAGATTCCCTATCAATGGTGAGATTCTCTTAAAATCACTTCCGACTTGCACAAATCCACATTCTTGCAGGTAATAAGGAAATATAAACAAAACAAACAATGTTTTCATTCAATTGATATGGATGTTTAATAATCAAGTATTTACTATTTAGGGGTGTTAAGCCTTATAATGCTTTAACCGGAAAGTTGCTATACCGTATTCGAGAATTTATCCTAGTCCCCAGTTTCCGTGACGTAGTACGCACTTCAGTTTCAAGATGGCGGAGGCAGCTGTCGAAAATCCAGATCAAACTGCAAACAATCGATTTTATTGTCACCAATGCTCAATAGAAATAGAACCAAAGCTTCCAGTAATATTTTAACACAACCTATTTACGTACAATATGTTCGAGTTTTTAATAATTCTGAATTAAGTTAATGAAAGATAGCATTAAATATTTCATCATAGTTCTATGAATCAACACTGCCCTGTCAATTCCAGTTCAGAATCTGACAATCTCCTGGGTATATTTGAGGAGTAAAACTTGTAAATGATTAACTAAATAAAACAGAAAAACCTTATCTATATTGCTGTTTATACCCCAGGGTCTATTCCAAGATACAGGAATGTCAATATATGTTAGTCTTGCTTTTAGGTAGTCAAAATATATTGACGTGCCAAAGCTTGATTCTGAGATATTTTCGTTCTGGGGCAGAATCTCGCTTTAACGTCAAAACCAAAAGGAGACCTTTCTGTGGTGAAACGTGGATTTCGATGTAAATGTGAAAATGCAGACAATTTAAACTAAGAATTTATTCAACAATACAATTTTAAGGAATTAACAGCACAAAAAGTGCCAGACTATCAACTTAGAATAAAGTAAACCACGTTAGTTTCATTTCACCGTCTCATTTGTGTAACAACGCCGCCATATTGTGATGTTGCTACAGTAATGTAACATGTACGCTAAAAATCGATATTGTTCGGTACCGTGCGTGAATGTTGTCATTTTTTTTTGCGTGGCTAAAAAAATATGTAAAACTATTAAAAAGTGGAAATTTTTCTTAAATGATGTTATTATTAATTATATTTATTGCTACAATAAAATAAATCGCCAGGAAATTATCTTTAAATATTTTTGTAATTCATGATAGAAATCTTAAAAATGATGCGGGGGAACTTTTAATTTAGTCCTCTTTTTTATAAATATGTTTATTAAAGGTTAAGGATAAGCAAAATACTGTATTTCATTAAAATGTATATAATCATCACTCTGTAGTATTATCTATGTTAGTATAATTATGTTAGTCACAACTTGCTGTGTATTAAAAACAACAAATCCTTGCCTATAGGAAAGTTTTGTTTTTCAAACGTGCATTACGCTATGAAAGAATTCAAATGGTAAATTCTTGCGTTAATTTTTCATTCCTCAACTGTTTTCAGAAAAATAAAACTCTTTACTCCGAGCACCCATTTTTCGTTTGTCTGTATCTGAAAGAACCTGTGTACATGTACCATTTATCCGTGTAATAAAAGACTGTTATCATAGCATGCCGTAATGGCCTGGATATTTCGTGTTGTTTAAGCGATGTTCCAGAAAAGTTTTGCAGAAAAGTTTTGTCCCGGTATAGAAAATATATTCAACCTAATATTTATTTTTAAAATGTGTCAACTACATGCATTCCACAACGCCGACACCGGTACGCTGGCCAATATACACTTCGGAAATGTTGACACTATTAATAATTGATGCGCAGTCCTGTTTCTTCCTTACTTAATTTCTTTGTGTCAACTATAAATTTATAAGATTAAGTTTTAAATAAATAAATTAGATTTTTTTAATTCGAGCCGTGATTCCTTTCCGGAATCAGTTAAACAATTTTCCATGCTGACACGGTTCAAATTGAGAAGAAGTTATTTTTAGATTGTCTTAGTAACATGTATTTATTTTTCAATTTATAATTATAAATATACTTGATGATTTATTTCAAAGACGATATTTTTATGCTTAAATTTCTTTCTATAATACATTTATGAAAGTTGTTTAAACGGTGTTAAGAATTTAAATGTGTTACGGTCCCGAGTTTCCTCAGTACATTTTCCCGGCTTACCAATACGCTTTGAATTTACGCAAGATATGCCAACTTTTTAAGTTTTGAGTTGTGGCATTTAATTATTAGGAACTTTATTTCTGGTTTTCTTTCTAAATTTACTGGAAGGTTAAAATCTTAATTTTCGTTCTTTATCAAAAACTCAAAAAAAAAAAATATATATATAAAAAAGAACTGAGGAGGCGCCGTGATTTATTACCGATTTTATAAGTTCGTTTTCCAAAGCAACACCTTTTATATTTGGGCAGTAACAATCTGTATCATAGTATGTTTAAAATGAGTAATAGTGTTGAATAACCCTTAAATCTTATAAGATTGGACAAGAATCAAAGAAATCACAGAGGCTTGGGGTGTGGAGCTCAAAACGCCTTTAAAATCCAAATGAAATGTATATGGAGCCACGTTTGAATTTGTCGAAGGATTTTGTAAATGGAGTAAAACGGCGATAATCTCGATTTTTATTTTGCCAGTTGCGTTGTTTATATTACCGTTGAAGTTTAAAATTGACCATCATCTTGAAGATTTATATCTTTTGTGTCGATGGACCAAAGGATTTTGTGAAAATATTGGAAACAGAATAAAATACATGGTGTTTTTGACGGCAGGTGTGCGGATTTTTTCCGGCGAACATTTTTATCTTGTGTAATATTATAGACGTTGAAATATATTTTTTTTTTCAAAACGGCTTATATTTAGTTTTTTATATATATATGATCAGTACATGTGCTGGTATTGACAAATATACATTTTATTTGGATTTTAAAGCTCCACACCCAAAGTGTCTGTGAAAGAAATTAGCGGCGCAGCGTTTTGTTTATGTAACATTGTAAAATAACCGCGTTGATTCTTCAAATCTCACCTCGCCATGCATGTATTTTATAAAAGAAAATAATTTCTTAGCATAAAAGTCAATTGTATGGGATAAATATTTACTGTATACCAACATTATGAAAGTCTTTTGCAAAACAAAACAAAAAACAATAACAACAGCAAAATAAGGCGGGGCACCTGTTTCATGAAATAAATTTCCGAGTATTTTTTCTCTGCTACCCCGGTCATTTTAAAACAATTTTCATACCTTCGTTTGTGTGTGTCTTTTTCTTTCTAAAAAACATCTTCAGAAAGCTTTTTGGAGAAAACTATCCAGAATTATGGGCCTGCGTGGATAAGATATAAAAAAAGAAATTTACCTGGAATTTTGTTTTCGCACATACATGTATAATGTCGAGGCACCGCGTTTGACGCATATTCGTTTTGTTATTGATAAAAATTATTTTGAACATTGAAAGTATCGTTTAATAGTTAATCAACCTGATTATAAATAACAGACTGTTAAATTCCTTAGAATGATGTTTTCTCGTAGTCGCAAATTAAAGGCGCAAGGAATCCGTACGTTGCTGTTTAAACATATAAACCTCATATGTTTCTGCTCTTATCATATCCCTATTTCCATCATAATCGTGGAAAAAAATTCTATAGATACCAATAGGTCCCATGTCTTATATTTACTTGGAAAGCTGACCAAAATATTTTTTTTATAAACAAGAAACGGTTTAGTGAGGAGTCCATTTACAGAGTAGCTTTTCTATAAAAGATAATAATGATTTTGATATTTCTAAGAACGCTCTGACAATAACGAATAAGTTGTGCATCTGCTCCAATAAAATAATATTTTCATCCTATCATAATTATTAATTTTTGCATAAATAAATGTCTTAAATATAACATTAAACTTGATATTTTACCAAGAGTGTTTCGTCGTTTCTCAGTAACGCAGTACCGCATACACACCAGTGTAGTTATCAACAGTGTATTTGTCACGTGACATTAGCGGCGATGTCTTTATTTTGATGGTGCGTGTGTTTACTTTTCTATCAAAATCTTTATGTTAGGAAGATTTTCACAAATAAAACATGAAATTGATGTAGAAATGAATAATCTTTAAAGGTATCGTAACAAATTTATTCAAATATGAATTCTAATACGATTTTACACGGTCCAAAGCTTGCGCTCAAAATCCCGGCGCAAATTTCACCACAGAAAAGGTACTTTTTATGTTGTACGTAGAGGCGAGATATTGCCCAGACACGAAAATAGCACAATATCTCGTCGCGCAGTACAATTAGTTGGACTAGCTTTTAGGCTACCGTCTTTATTAAATTAGGTGATAATTTTCTATAACGTGGAAAGCAGTTATGATGTTATAGCGAGCTGGCCCCAAGGGTCTGTTTGTAAAGCGAGCTTTACGCTAACGCATGTTCCTGCTACAAAGTGATGGTTTTGAAAACTTTCATTGAAAGTACTGAACTGACACATTGAAACTTTTCGAATTACAAGATAATGATAAAGACCGCGGAATTCTGATTGAAAACGATTGCGTAGAGTGGTATCCTGCGCACTTTTATAGGAACCATAATGGGACAGGGAACCAGAATACACGGAAGCAGTGTATAAAATACCGATTGACAGATTTACAACGGAAAATGTAAAATAAAAATGATCGATTATTTTATACTATTCACAGTAAAAGTAAATCGAGCTCGCTTTGAGGCTTTGCCTTTTCCATATTAACAAACATAAAATGTTCAATATATGAATCAGATATTTCCCGGACCTAGGTAATAAGTAAATAAACTAAGTTAATTAGTACCGTTCAATGTATATGAATGAAAATAAATTGAATGGGGTATTTCACTGTACTGTACCTTGTTTGCATAGATATATATTTTTTGTTTATTTCAATGTTATTTGAATTTACCTAACATTGTAATTTGTATTTAGATAAATTTTTTTAGCATTGTATTAAGAGTTACACTTTTAAAAAATTATCTGACATCAGTTGACTTATTATTTATATTTATATTGTTTACGACAAATAAGGGTTCAGAATGATAGTGTTTACCACAGACATAAAGCACACCAGTTGCTTGCCCTGTTATATTTTTTGCTGAGTTAATTCACAAACCATTGCCTGATTCAGAAATTCTAATGTTTTGACCTGTATATTAGATGGTATATTTCCAGTTGTTAATAGTTCTGTTAATATTTTAAAATATACTTGTCCAATACGGCTTAATTATTTAATATGTTGAAAATATTTTTGCAGGATTTTACGTGTCCAGAATGTGACAATGGTTTTATAGAAGAAATATCAGAGTAAGTTATAAATAATGACTTGATTTTCAAAATACACATATTTGTATCTGTAATGGAATTTGTTTATCCTTATATTAGTGTTTAATCAAGATTATTTTTTAAAAGAAAGTTGTTATAGATATAAAGCTTCTTTATTACAGTTAATATTAATTATTATTTTTAGATTTTTTTTTTAGTTTTTAAAGAAAATCTTTCAAATACATGTTAGTAAAAGCCTAATTAAGCTTCCAAAATGCTATAATTTTCATTTCTCAAAAGTTTTGTTTTTTCAATACAGTTCATGTTCTGTTACAGTTTCTGAAACAGTCATATTTAGTTGAACCATTGTTTATTTTTATTTTGATATAGAATTTTGCTGTGATGACAAAATAACAATTTGTTCACATTTTGCTACTTTTTACCTGAACATCGTTTGCTCTGTTGCTTTTTTGGTATTTTAGTGATTTACATTGTAGTGTTTTGTATGGAAGTCAGAATTTACAATTTGCTACTTTTATGACAATTTCACATTCAGCGCTAGTTCAAGTGAAAAACTTACATGCTCAAAAACGGTCATTTAAACGTTATAAAAACCATCTTTTGCTTTTTATGAATTTATTTGTTTCTGAGGTATGAATGTAATTTTAATAATCATCAAGACCTTTATTATGACAAATGAAAGCAGTTTGGTAAAGTAGCATTGTTATATATCTAAAGGTTATGTGTAACGAGTATATACATATATACATACAGATGGTCGTTTTATGAGAATTAAACTGATAAATGAAAATGAAATTCTTTTTTTTTTGTCTTGGGTTAAAATTAAGTTGTCTTAATTGGTTTGAATTAGACATTGAGGTTATTTTAGTGAACCTGTATTTGTAAATTTACCAAATTTGATGATCATGTTGTAGGGGTGCAAACACAGCATCTGGTACAAGTAGTAGTACACCACAGCAACAGCCTGTTCCTGATCCTGCAGCAAGATTTGCAGAGGTACATTTGTATTTGGATATTTAATTATTGTTGTTTTATAGATCATTTAATTTTTGATTGTTAACTTTATGACCAAATTCTTGCCACATTTCCTTTTTGAAATATTTTTCTTGTTCTGAATTTCATACAAAAACTTGAATAAATAAACCTGCATATCAAAAAGAATATACATACAAATAAAACCATTAGATAGGTTTTACTGTTCTTATCACAAAATATCAAATTGTTAGTGATAACATAAGAAAGATATTGTGTTAGGGTAATTTATGATAATTTTGTGATAGATACATGTTAGGATCTGCTGTTTCTACTTTTATTCAACAGTAACTACCACTGGAAGTCTCAGAAGTGTACTTGTAAATGCTTGTTTTGGCCAAGCAAAGAATTCATGTTAAAGTTTCATGATTTCAGCTATGGGGTCGAGCATTTTTAGAAAGTTTTAGCAATCATACAGCAGAGCGTGATGAAGGTGTAGCCTGGGCTCGCGACCGTGACTCTGATGATGATGAACAAGAAGGCTCCTCCCGGCGGCAACACAGAGCTTTCCAACCATCACGTGTCTCATTTAGAAGAGCACGACCAATAAGAAACCAATATTTACAAGGGTCAGTGCCCAATGTCTACTAATTTTCTACTATCTTTTTTTGCTTTAAAACAGTATTAATTGAAAATTCTCATGTAGCAGCATCTCAATGTAGAAGATATTTATGTAGTTGAAGTTGATGTAAAATGTTAATGTATAAATAATAACTGATTTATAATTGGAAAATAAAAATGTTATATATTTTATTATTTCAGGTTATTTCAGTACTTTACAGATAGATTAGACAATGAATTAGGTGCCGGGGGTGGGGGTTCTGGGGGTTTCACCATGCAAGGAATTCCAGTGTAAGTTTATACAGCAGTTTTATGTTATTTGATTTTACAATTAGTTTATATATAGCATGCATTTTTATGCATTATTTTCTGTGGCTGCCATTCTTAATATATTATCAACTTCAATATTATATGATCTTTATTTTGATGATCTTTTTTGTACTCAAACACCATCTTTTCATCTGTTTGGAAAGTGTAACAATTTGACAAGGTAAATATTTTAAATTTGAATGTTAAAAGACAAGTTTACTTAAAGTATCGTGACATGAAAGATACAAAAAAAACCTCAGGTAACTTGCCATTAAATTTCCTCTTGTATAAAAACTGAAACATATATCAGAATTAAGAAAGCTAACCAAGAATTATATTTCCTTTCTGTAAATTGATATATAGGTGATTCATGGACAGTTTCAGTTGACCTTACCTTCCCTGATTGTAATTGGATTATGTTATTTTATCTGTTGATGATATAAGGGTATTTATGGCATTAGTCATCTCCAGCTGCAAAATGGCTGCCGGGGGAGGTAATAATGGCTATATGAAAAGCATCTATAGGAATAGCCTCAAGTTGTTCGTCCATCTGTATTATTGTCATGTCTGCTCTGTCAATTATAAACTGCTGTAAAAGTTCTAAAATAAAATGACCATTATGATCATCATTATTTAGAAGTTGTATAAAGAGTAACAATCAAAGGTCACGGGCAAATAAGAAAAAAAAAGTTCATATTTGTTTGTTCTGACAGTTATTTTAAATTGCTGAAATGTTTTTAAATTAATTTTGGTACAAAAGATCATCATGCTGACATGGTGTTCAGAGCCCAACAACTAGACTTTACCCCTAAATTTAAGGTTACAAAGTCCAAATATTAAAAAGTCTGCATTTTGTTTTCACTCACACATTCCTGGTCTATAACGTTTTTGGAACGATTTTTGGGCCAGAAAGTCACCACCCTGACACAATGTGGTCATGATGTGCATAGCACAACAGCCAGGTTTTTCCACCAAAGGTCATGGTCTATCAATGGTTGAAAAAGTTTTTGTAATTAATGCCAAGGGATAAGCATTAGTTGTTTTCAAATTGTCTTACTGTAATAAGTGTATTTACATTTATGAAACCTCAACCATAGCACATAAACTTATCTTTGTATTATCAGTATGCCCCAGTTTAACCATGTTAACAGTTTTGTGTAGTTTATTTGTTTGTTAAAATAATTAATAAATGAATTGAAAATAAATAGAGCCTGTCTTGTAGAGTGGTTAGGTAATTTAACTACTTGTTTGTTTCCTTAGAAATTCTGGATTCTTTCATTTGAGGAAACTATTGAGCTATATTTTTATTTTAATTATTGTTTAGATAAGTCATCGTTACACAATAATTAGTTGAATATATATATATTTTTACAAGGAACATACTACCTGGTATAGTACCTCTACATAGTAACCCTGAAGATTATGCCTGGGGAACTGGTGGACTTGATGCTATAATTACTCAAGTAAGTTTCTCTCTTCTTATTGTTGTTTTTTGTTGCTTAATATTATAGACAACTTGGCATTTTCACTTGACATTCTAAAAGTAAGATTCTTACAATATCATAATTTTTTCATTTTTTTGCTTGACTAGACAAAGAACTTACTATTCAATACACCTGGATGCTGTGACATATTTTTATGCTGTCTTTAATGCATTAAGGATTAGTTACATATATAACAAGGTGCATAACTTTAGGCAACTATATTACAAGAATTATCTCCCTTTGAATTTCAGTTTTTGCATATAAATTATTTTTATGCCCCCCACTTAGCAGGTTTGCCCTTGTCTGTCCATCATGATGCCGTTCTGTTCATGCATATAATGACTAAACAGTGGAATGTGGGGACATCAATGTCCTATGGACACATTCTTAGTAAATGTTACTGTATTATAATTTATAACATAATGGGACTCACTTCAATCTAAATAGTTGCTCATTTTAAGACATAAGTTCATTAGTAGGATAACAACTGTGTTTTTGTGCTGAAATTTTAAGAGCATGTTTATGTCATTTTATATGAAGATTTGAGTAAGTTTGTTCCTTTTTTTCAGCTTTTAAATCAATTAGAGGGATCTGGTGCCCCGCCAGCGCAAAAAGAAAAGATTGACAGTTTACCTGTAGTATCTATAACACAGACACAAGTTGGTGAGTAGAAGTTATTATGGTATGTTATTCATCTACAAGGTGCTCATTGTTACAGCAATAAAGTCATCTTGTAGCATTAACCTATAATCCTACCAAATAATAGTGTTAATTTCACAAGAGAGATATGTTTATTATATTGTCACATTATGTTTATTATATTGTCACATTATGTTTATTATATTGTCACATTATGCTTATTATATTGTCACATTATGTTTATTATATTGTCACTTTATGTTTATTATATTGTCACATTATGTTTATTATATTGTCACATTATGTTTATTATATTGTCACATTATGTTTATTATTTTGTCACATTATGTTTATTATTTTGTCACTTTATGTTTATTATATTATAACTACATTCATGCTATATATTTCAGATAATGTACTACAATGTTCTGTATGTATGGATGATTTTAGTATAAATGAAGAAGTTAACAAACTCCCCTGTGATCACCACTACCACAAAGACTGCATTGTCACATGGTTAAAAATGGTAAATATCTAAAATATATCATATAAACTTTACCCTATGAACTTACTTGATAATGGATTTTTCCGGCTTTGAAATTTGGCTCCGTTTCTCAAATACCTCTAATATTTAATTGAAAATATTTCTAATCTGGTAAGTTATTTAAGATATGAAAATACAATTCATTTCTTTCTATACCAAAAATATATCAGGTGTAATAGTGAAATTATCCCTGTATCTCTACTAGTTTCTTTAATAAATTGTTGAGTAAAAGTTTGCCAGTATAAATCTGTACTTTCTATATAACCTGGAATTTAACTCAAAGTAATCAATATTTTTGTTGCCATACCTGGACGGCAACATAAACAATTAAAAAGATTGATAATTTCTACCTGTACCTGCCTGTCCTTAGCCTATGAAAATGGAGAATTAATTAATTACCTCATGATAACAAAATGGTAGACAAAAGATCCCAAAAAGGCGGAGCCTAAGGGGCTCGTCATCTGCCATGTTTTTGTTGTGTTACATTTACATAGAATTAAAATACAATCTTCATGTAAGAACCTCAAAACCAGTGTGTAGGCCCCTTTGTGGTAAACAATATTTAGAGTATTTCTCTTAAAAGGAGGAACATAAGCTCTGTTATTCAGTCTATTTCACAAAAAATATTTTTTTGGAATTCTGGGCTGAACTGCAGAATTACTAGCATAGTTGGATGCTAATACTTGTTTTATGTAGCATTGAATGAATAAATCAAACTTTTTGTGTGTTGGAAAAGATTGTCTGCACTAACAGTATGTTTCAGAAAAGATTGAAATTATGCTTATTAATTGATGTTTTTATAATACAATAATGATGTTAAATAAGTTTGTTTGTACTTTCAGCATGGAACATGTCCTGTTTGTAGAAAAGATTTAAGTGGTGAGGACACTTCTCTCAAAGACAATATAACACCAATATTAGATGATGATGATGATTCACCCATCAATAATGATCCATCTAACGGAATGACATAAACTATTATATCTTTACTTCTATGTATAATTAAAACACACGCTGCAACTATTTGTTTTTATCCAGGATTTATTATTTAATGATATGGATATCTTTTATCTTATACCAGCTAAGTTTTTTCTAACATGACTTTGATGCTTGTATATATAAACTGGTGAGACAACTAACTCCTAACTGTCATCTATTTTGTATTGTTTTAAACCTTGTTGTTTGTTCATCAATTTTGGAATAGCACTAATACTGATGGATTTAGGAAAAGAAATTATAGAAAATTCAAGAATGTAGAGCAAAATTGAAAGTTCAGGAATGTAGTGCAAACGTAGGGTTTCTGTAACTTTACACTGTATAATTTAGTTGAACTAATGTTATATTCTTTCAGTATACATTTATTTCTGAGTAAAAATAGTTTATATAAAATATTTGTTTGTCAGTGGTAGAAATAATATGTACAAAGCAGCACTATCAAAATAAATGCCACCATTTGGAAATATTAATTTCATAATTCAGAGAGTATTTTACATTTGGTAATAATGTTGAAGAAACAGTTACTATAACATAAACCTTATATAGTAACACGACATGCACTTCTAGTATAAACAAGACATTATTAGCAGTACATATCGAAGAAAAACAGTGGAGCTATAGTCATAACCCACTCATTGGCATTGGTTAACCTTTTCAATAATGTCGATTCAATTTTCTCAGAAGGTATAAAAGCTATTCATTTCAAACTTGGTATACATGTCTATTGTCATAAAGGACACGATTTCAAAAGGGTAGATTAACTGCTAAAAAAAATCTGTAAAGTTAGCATCTTTTTCTATCTTGTTATTATTTAACCTATCCAACACATAAGTATGCTGTCCACAGACAGGTTTTGTTTTCTTTCAATTCTCAAATTCTTTATTAGACTACATGAACTAAGTCTGTTATTTTTATCTGTTTTTGTTCTCAATTCTGTTGAAGGATCTGACTGGCATTTTAACATAGGTTTAAATCGTTTAATATCCTGTATATAAAGAGATAGGTACAGTGTGTTATGTTAACATTGTGATTTATATTAATGACAAGTTTATTGATATTAAATGTTATAACATGACTGAGTGAGGACTGAATCATAATGTATACTGAATAGGTTTATACTGTAATGAAGAAATGATATATGGGTAACTCCGATATATTACAATGTTTATAATGTTTGGTGTACATGCATGAATCAAACAAACGGCTAAGATGATAGATAGAAATACCACAGAAACCTTGTTATAGTTACACACAGATTATTTCTATTCTACCACTGGTGATCAGCTAGCGTTAACCTGTATATTACATGAATTCGTTTTTTGATGCAAAATACAGTTATATTTAATTGTTACATACATTATATTTAGTCAGTACATGATGATTGTGTATTGACAATAAATTTAAAGGACAAATAATTCCTGTGGTTTTGTTAAGATTTATTTTAATCATTTTACCAAATATATATAAGAATTAAATTAATTCTGTGTGTTATTCTGGTGAATTATTTCGCTGTTATTAATTGGGTAAAGTTGTTTAATTTATGTGTGAATATAACATTACAGCAATCAGCTAAAGAAAATAAACCTATCGGGAAAAGCACAGTCCTGCAATATTCTTTATAATAAAAGAACTACATTTAAATGAGTATAAACCAGGTGATGCTTCGTTTAGCATGCTACTTTATCAGTGGTACATTGTACTACATATACTACATTCTTCACTTGTTTAATTAGCTGATGGAAAACAAATATTATGGTAAATTCTTACTTTTATTCTTCAGTCAAAATAGCTTTTCTCTGACAAATATGTTCATATGTTAGAAAATTTGACTGCATTTCTGCTATTTGTAATCAATGTCAATCAAACCATATCTTCATTTATATTTGATACACTAATTGTTAACTCTTTTTTTTTATTAGTCCCCTACCGGTTTACCGGAGGGGACTTTAGGTTTACCCTCCGTCCGTCTGTCCGTCTGTCTGTCTGTCCGTCTGTCAGTCCGTCCGTCCACAAAACTGGATCCCGCGATAACGCAAAAAGTACTGAAAATATTTTAATGAAACTTGATATATGGATAGATGGCAGTATGGAGATTATGCACGTCTTTTTCTTTTCTTCCTATGTTGAAAATTCTGGTTGCTATGGCAACAAATAGACTGAAAATATGGCAAATTTTACACATAACCTGGATCCCGTGATAACCCAAAAAGTACTGAAAATATTTTTATGAAACTTGATTTATGGATAGATGGCAGTATGGAGATTATGCACATCTTTTTCCTTTCTTCCTATGTTGAAAATTCTGGTTGCTATGGCAACAAATAGACTGAAAATATGGCAAATTTTACACATAACCTGGATCCAGTGATAACACAAAAAGTACTGAAAATATGTTTATGAAACTTGAAATATGGGTAGATGGCAGTATGGAAATTATGCACATCCTTTTCTTATCTTCCTATGTTGAAAATTCTGGTTGCTATGGCAACAAATAGACTGAATTTCAAGATTTCTGATTCTAGTTTTTAAGTTTTTTCACTATAAGTTCTTTATTTCTTAAGGTATTTTCTTCAAACTTTAAATATAAGTTGCTTATCATCAACCACATCATATGTGACAAGGTTTACAACTCTAGCACAAAATTTATCAGAATTGCCTCCCTTGAACTTAAAATTTTCATGAAAAAAAAAACATTGTTTTTTTAATAACTTCTTTTTTTGAATGTATCTACGTCAAACTTCATATAAATGTTTCTTCTTATCACTCAAAATTTGTGAGTGTTCAATACTCTAGCAAAACTATTTCCAGAATTATGCCCCTTTTGAACTTAGACTTTTTTTTTGTTGAGAAATTGGTAATTTTTACTCCAACTTCTTCAATCATGATAGGATTTTAAAAATGTTATATTTTGATAACAGGGATGTTTAAAAAATAACTTTAGAGTGTCCTTCAGTCTGTCTGTCTGTACATAAAAACTGTTTCCTGTGATAACTTTTAAATAACTTTTTTAACAAATTTACTTAAAATAGGAACATAAGTGAATGGCCAATGGCCCTTCAGAACGTTGCTTGGGCTCTTACCGGTAGGGGACTTATGGATTGCTTGCAATACTATGATAATTGCTTGTTTAAAAGAAATCATTTGCTATCACCTTACTGATAAAATTGGAAGGGGGATTTTTTAATGGTGTGTTTAGTCTTTCTGGATCCATATCTTGTTCAAATATCTCGAAACATGACAGGAAATATTATATGGATCAACATCCACCCAGAGATTTTTATGTTATGGCTATTTGTTATTTTATATTATAATAAGAAAATGATGCTATAAGGAAATGATGCTCATCAAATCAAATTCTGTTTAAATCCGATTTTGTATATTTAAGTTATGGCCCTTTGTAAGATTGAAATATGTTTAAGGAAAATTTAAGCTTATCTCAATACTGATGTTCTACATTGTAATATATCTAAGCATGAATGTGTATTTCAAGGAAGATATGATGTTGTTTTATCTGAATAGGAATATCTATTTGCTTCACACTGCTTAATTGGTTGGGCTTAGTATCATACATTGTAATAATAAAAGGTACCAAATTATTTTGTACACATATTTTAAGGTACATAATTTTAAAAGTAAGAAGTTTCCACCCAGTGTGCTGTGATGTTCAGTGAGGGATATAGTTTACAAATTTGCTTGTTTTTATTTAAAAGATACCTCACTTCTACAAGTATATTTCATGACTAAAGAACAAAAGACTGATTCAAGTTGCAAAACACTAAAATGCTTGTGCATAATAGAGCTGTTGATGAAAGTTGAAATCTTGCCATACTAAATTTGTAATATAAATTTTTTTCTTACTGTCAATTGTAAATGTGGGAGAATTTGATGTTAAGCTGTTAAGAATTATATAGCCACCAGTATAGAGACTGGTCTGACCGCACAGGTTGCCTTGACTGGTCTGACAGCACAGGCTGGCTTGACTGGTCTGACAGCACAGGCTGGCTTAACTGGTCTGACAGCACAGACTGGCTTAACTGGTCTGACAGCACAGGTTGGCTTAACTGGTCTGACAGCACAGGTTGCTTGACTGGTCTGACAGCACAGGCTGGCTTGACTGGTCCGCCAGCTCGGGTTGCCTGGACTGGTCTGACAGCATAGGCTGGCTTGACTGGTCCGCCAGCTCGGGTTGCCTGGACTGGTCTGACAGCACAGGTTGCCTTGACTGGTCCGCCAGCTCGGGTTGCCTGGACTGGTCTGACAGCACAAGCTGGCTTGACTGGTCTGACAGCACAGACTGGCTCTAATTTATACTGGTGTTATTCTACATTAATTAAGAGAAGTTTTAAAGACATTCTACAAAAAGCGGGTTAATACCACAGGGACTCGACATAGTGGAGGGATAGTGTAAAATGTAAATCTAGAAATAAATATATACTGCAGTCGAGTCCCTGTGATTATTATGTTATGACATTTTTCATCACAATGTTTTGCTTCAATAATTATTGTTATGATATTTATGTTGTTTTTCATGAATGACATGTATTGTAACAAAGGTTTCAGTCCCTGATTTCTGTTGATTGTTATTTTGGTATTACTTGAAGGGTAAAACATCTATGATAAAGAGTATAGGGTATAATTTATATTGTGTCTCTCTCGTGTGTAAGTATTTTGTCAATGTCATTGTAACTGGTGAACATTTTAGCATCTTTATGAAAACTTTTGTTCTGAAAACAATCACATTGTAGAAAAATGTTATACCACTGACAACCACACAACAAATGATAAGGAGACCTGCAAACATAAATCCGACATTCTTTAGTTACTGCATGAAAATTATACACTTGTTTTGTTCTTTTATCAATTGTTTGCTCTGATAATTTTTATAGTTTTTAGGACTTGTCTATTTTATGCCACAATTAATATGAAATTTATTTTATTGAAACTAATTATGTTGGTTTTTATAAAAAAAATATAAGAATAAGTAAAATTTGTTTTTAGAGAATCTTAAAATTTGACATAGGATGTACAATTAGAGTTTGACTTAATTTAATAAGAAGTCAAAAATTTTCCTTTTAATGAACTTAACTACAAAAAAAGTCTCAGAATAATATTCCTCAGTTGATACATGATTTATGTAATGTATTTTGTAATGGTTGTTTGACCTGATACTTGTATATGACATTGTAGTTTGCTAGATGCAGCAAACATTTTATTAACTCTTGTTTATAGTGAAGCTGTTTGTTTATCAAATTTATTATTTGTTCTTGTGTAATGCATATGTCTGGATATTTGTTTGCTATGAAAGTCAAAGGAAAAAAATATTTAAAATATTTGTAGTGTTTGTTTTTATTTAATTTCATTGATATAAAAAATAATAGATGTTATGCGGAACTCGGCAAATGTGGGTTTTTCCCAGCTAATCTGTAGGTACCAACTGTACCGTTATAGCTTCACAGTGCCCTACTGTCACAATATACAATAGATTAGTCAACTTGTTGTGCTTATTTTCGAAGCTGTAACGATAAAAGTGTGTTTGTGCCTGGGAAAAACCTAAAATCTTAATTACTGTGGAAGTCGATTGAAAGACATTAGTCCTGTCAAGATATGCTATATGAAATATTTAATTCAACATTTTTGACATGATTTTGTGTAAAAACCTGATGATATTCTTTACCTAATTATTAATTTCTCAAAAGTTGTTAGACTGCAAATCATTGCATTTTATAAGCAGATGTTCGACCAAAAATCTGCCTCATTTAAGCCACTGTGAGGAGGCACGGTCTCATTTTGGTAACAATGGCAACCAAACCAACATTATTTCAGCCAAAAGTGATTAGTTAAGTCTAATGATGAAAATCAGATCAGGATCGCCATTTTGAATGATGTTATTAGTAAGACTTTCAAACACTACCTTAGTACTCGTCTGTCTGCAAATTAATCTACCAATGGCAAATTTTGTCTGTAAATATTGATACCATTGGCATGCAAATGATCAGTATTTGTAAGCTGACCAAATCTATAGAATCATCGTGTATATATACCTATACATTCCCCAATACACAAAAGTTAAAATATACAGAGGGAATAACGGAAGAAGTCTGTGGTATACAACTGTTGGGTTTTATAAGATGACTATGGTTCCTCTGACTTGTGTGAACAAAACCAAAGCTTCAACTCAAATTACACCAAAATTCCCAATACATGTACTTATATTTTACAATCTGGACAAGTGCATCCTACTTGCAGTCAACTTGTAGAAGCACTTTGAAACATTTCAAAAGCCTGATTATGCTGCCTAGCATCATTTCAGGTAACCCATACAGACTTTTTCTTTCTTTTTTTCTTCTAAAAGAATCATTCACACAAATGGAAGACTAGATAAATAACACGACTTGAGGACTTTCGATATAATTTAGGCAACACAAACCCGTGGAAAAAAAGGAACGTTGGACAGACTTTAGCCAAGAATTTTTGCGTCTAACGTACGTGTTGATTTCACGGATCACCGTCTTTTGTGAAATAACACGTTTTAGGGAATTTTAGAAATATTTTCAAAATGGGGAAACTAAATGTGACAATGCTTAGATATTTGAGTAAAGAAGATTTTCGGGTTCTCACTGCGGTAATTATTTACGCTTCATTTGTCAGAGAAATGTTCAAGATTTACGCGTGAATGAACCTGCATGTTTTCGGATAGAATGTAGCCGGATAAACTTTAGAAATCCGGGAAAGAAAATTTGCGTTTTATTTTTATCGCCGTAATAATAATCTATTATCATTCCAAGTTGTTGTCATGTTCAACTTGTTGGGGTTGGGTTATAATCATTTAGGTTAGGTGACAATGTAGTCCTAATTATAAGACCTATACATAACCTATTTCATATTTATCATTCATTAATCCAGAGATCTGCCGAGGACGCGATTTTGCGCCATTGTCGCTAAAAAAATGAGAATGGCGCAGGAAAATCGGCAGCAAAAGGCCATGGGCGCATCTAAAATCTGTGCCAGACTTATAAGAAAACAATTTACACAACTGTCTGCTGGGTTATTTAGTCATCCAGTCAAAACTGGTACCAACAGCAACATGTTACCCATGCTCCTGTAATTACGCATATTCTTGAGTTTATCCATTCCCCTATAGCTTTTGTCCATGTTATCTACTTGCCGCATTTCTTCTCATAATTCCTTTCCCACACAGATACTCATTTCTACTACCGTAAATTTAATCCAATAAAACAAACAAACAAATTATACAACTACTTAATATTTAAAATGATTATCGGTAACTGAAAAAAAAGTGTTGCTATTTTAAGAAATGCGGTAAGTTACAGTATAATCTGACAGGTGTTCAACTTGATCAACCCTAAGGTCACTCAAGTTCACGCAAGTTTTGGCTGATGAAGTGTAAAAAAAGATGTATATTTCGTCATCAGAATGTTTGACAGGGTGATTAACCAATCAGAGAAACATTGTGCATGACTTTTTTCATGATCAAAAGGTCTGTCGGCAAATGTCTTTGATGTATGCTGTCTACACAGAGGCATACAAGGGGCAATAAAATTTGCCAATATACAGTGGTAAGGGACATTTGGTGCAAAGTAGGAACAATTAAATGGATAATGCACAATATAAGACATTACAAGGAAGAACCAGCAATTATGTGAATAAATTTGCATATCAAATTTTTGAGCAGCCATTTAAAAAATATTTTCATTTTTGCCTGCAATTAATATTAGTTAGAAAGTTACCATGTAGGCATAATTTTTAATTATTGGTAAAGTACTGAATTATAAGTGAACCACTTGTCATAAAATATGATTTAAGTTTTATTACCGGGGCAATTCAATTATCTACAAACTTTTTAACAGTTATTTTGGTCAATGTTTACTTATTTTCCCAAGGCCCATACTTTGGTAAAAATGGCCCATCATTTTCAGACCAAGTGGGCCCAGGGCCCAGTACTTTCAAATTCTTGGCAGATCTCTGTTAATCTGATATTTTACATTTTTCATTTTCTATGTTACATTAGGTCTTAACAGATCTTTGCAAAATCGTGTAGCAAAAAAATTGACATTAGACATCGATTTAGATCTAATGAATTTAAACAATTAAAACAGCGTGTATTTACATTAATTTTGACCTATTTATGAACAAAACTAAAAAATAAATACCTTTTAACAAAATAATTGAACTGTCACATCCGAAAAGTCATGATTAAATCCTCTCATTTAATTAAATTCCTTGTACAGCAGATATACAAATGGCCGCCATACAGTGCGCGAAATCTGATTGGCTAATTCAAATGCAAGCGTTTAAATGAGTCCAGAAGTTTCTAACGGAATATTTTTTCAACGAAATAATTACCCATGCACCGTCAGTGTGTTCGAATATATTTTTCCGTTCAAAAAATTGGAAGCAATCTGTAAAACGCTTTACTTAACCAGTATGGCCGATGAGCGAAATAGACTGATATTTATATTTTAATTTTAATTGATAAGTACATTGTTTGAAAGTTTTTGTTAATGATAGACCATGCAATTGAAAGAACAGAAGATAAGCTGTTGAATAAAGCTTGAAAGGCAAGTCAACAGACATTTTTTTAATTTTTCAAAATGCTACGCATTTATGAGCAATAACTATTAGACGTCAGGCTTGACCAACATAAAACTATAACAAGCCTGTAACATCTAATCTATTGGACTAGTGACAATGATTTGTTTGAATTTTGTTTTTACTTTCAAATTAGTTACAAACCAAGAAGCTAAAGGGTCAACTTGGTCCTATACCAACTTAACACGTGTGCACTTGGCACTGTAATAAAAACCTATTAGGATACAGTAAATTACAAAACAATTATTAAGAGTTAGAATCACCAACAAATAGAAATTGAAAAAGGTGTAAATGTTTTATATTATCATTGTTTAGAAGACATATCAAGACAAGATGATTGATCTAATATGACGTTAGGCAAAGCCTATGAACGGGGAAGTCGGTTAAAAAAATTGTCATTTTTCGTTTTAAAGGTGTCATTCGGTATTTCATGCACTGCTTCCATTTTTACTTGGTATACTCGACAATTGTTATTAATACAAAAAGTTGAGATTGTTCGTTATCAGAGCATTTAAAAAACTATTGATGCTCGTTTTGAAAACAAGGGTCAAGACTGAAAAAAACCCAATAGATATTAATTAAAGATCTGATATTCATTCAGTCATTGTTGACTGTGTTGATAGATTGTATTAAACAGTATTTAAGTTTATATTTTGTTACAGGTTGAGATGGGAATGAAGAATCATGAGATAGTTCCAGCTCCTTTGATTGCTTCTATAGCTCATCTACATTCTGGTGGCTGCCATAAAGTATTGAAGGAACTCAGTAAACATAGACTTGTAGCTTATGAGCATGGTGGCAAGAAGGGTAAATTTGTGCTTATTATATTTTTATGCCCCCATCCCCCACAATTATAATGGCAAGAGGGCATATAGTGTTAACCCTGTCTGGCCATCAATGAGTGCAAAAATCTTGCCTGGCTTATAACTTTGGCATGCATCAAGAGATTTTGAAATAACTTAGCACAAATGTGTAGCATGATGAGTTGGTGTGTCAGGTGCAAGACCTATCCCATAGCTCAAATGTCAAGGTCAGACTTGTTTATTGCCTAGAAAATAAGAAATGTAAAATTTATTAAGTATATCACACGCAAGAAACTAATACATAAAGTCAAGTAGCACAAAAACCACTTGATGTTGATTAATGTGAAATATTAACCAAACATAAAACATCATATTTTTTTTTTCTGCTACAGTTCCAGGATATCGCTTGACAAACTCTGGGTATGATTACCTGGCCTTGAAGACACTGACAAGTAGAGGTGTTATACAGTTTGTTGGTAATCAGATAGGGGTTGGTAAAGAGTCGGGTATGTATACATATTATATAGTTATTAACTTCTTATAGAATATACAAAAGTTATTCTAAAATATAAGTAATGAATGCATAATTTTGTATTAACACAAGTTTTGTACATGGTACTTTCATATATGAATGTATTATGAATCATCAAAATTTTTCTTTTGATCAAGAATCAATACAGATTTAAAAAAAGTGATCTAATTTTGTCTAACTAATGAAATGTCTAGAAATTATGTAAATTGATCAAAAACAGGTGCCCAGTTAAAAGTAACAACTATAATTCTGTTGGTATGAACATATTTGATAGAAGTGATGACAAAATGCTCATTATAATTGTATGCACATATGTGTTTTACTGAAATCTTGATAACAGGTATGAAAGGGAAATAAAAATAAGTAATACTTCATATATCTGTGTATATTTGATATTTGTCATCTGATAATGATATATTGTGCACATATAATATACTTTGGACTTAGTCAATGACAGCTGTAATTTTACATCAACGAAAGCTTGAAAAAATATGAACTTAACATTATTGACTTAAAACCTTACACAATGTATGTTTTCTGTGTAGCAGATATTTAGATTTCTGCGTTGCAGATATTTACATTTCTGTGTTGCAGATATTTACATTTATGCGCTGCAGATATTTACATTTATGCGTTGCAGATATTTACATTTATGCGCTGCAGATATTTACATTTCTGCGAAGCAGATATTTACATTTATGCGTTGCAGATATTTTCATTTCTGCTTGCAGATATTTACATTTCTGTGTTACAGATATTTACATTTATGTATTACAGATATTTACATTGTGGCAGATGAGGAGGAGAAACAGTGGGCACTTAAACTTCATAGGTACACACACACCACTGTCATTTCTTCAATATTTTATAATAGTTGTCACTTTATATCATGTTGATGACGGAAGAAGTATCAGAAATTAAGATTTCTTTTAATGAAGAAGTTCCAGTTTTGGAAATTCAGTCTTTTTTTTTAAACTGTGGTTTTGTATTCAGTATAAACAAACCTGAGAGGTGTGTAATAAATAATAGTAAATATAATCACAGATGATTTTGCTAAAGTTTTAGAAGATATAAAAGAATATCAATGTTTGTTTATTAAGATAATATGTTTAATTTACATTAACATTATTTTAATTACATAATTGTCAAATCTTGTAATGATCATGTAAATACAGACTAGGACATACTTTATTTTGTCAGTTACATTATTGCCCTATTATTATTGCATATATACAGACTAGGACATACTTTATTTTGTCAGTTACATTATTACCCTATTATTATTGTATATATACAGACTAGGACATACTTTATTTTGTCAGTTACATTATTGCCCTATTATTATTGTATATATACAGACTAGGACATACTTTATTTTGTCAGTTACATTATTGCCCTATTATTATTGTATATATACAGACTAGGACGTACTTTATTTTGTCAGTTACATTATTGCCCTATTATTATTGTATATATACAGACTAGGACATACTTTATTTTGTCAGTTACATTATTGCCCTATTATTATTGTATATATACAGACTAGGACATACTTTATTTTGTCAGTTACATTATTGCCCTATTATTATTGTATATATACAGACTAGGACATACTTTATTTTGTCAGTTACATTATTGCCCTATTATTATTGTATATATACAGACTAGGACATACTTTATTTTGTCAGTTACATTATTGCCCTATTATTATTGTATATATACAGACTAGGACATACTTTATTTTGTCAGTTACATTATTGCCCTATTATTATTGTATATATACAGACTAGGACGTACTTTATTTTGTCAGTTACATTATTGCCCTATTATTATTGTATATATACAGACTAGGACGTACTTTATTTTGTCAGTTACATTATTGCCCTATTATTATTGTATATCAGTCTTCGACTTAACCCACTCGACCGACGACCGAGTCGAGTAAATTTGTGGGTGGTCGAGTGAAAATTCCAAGCTGGTAGCCCGTCTAGTCGAGGGCTTTTTTCATTATCCAAATTAAGAAAATGTTGGAAATATGCAGAGCTCCAGATAGCAATGTTTTGGCTTTATGAAAATACAATATATTTTCTGCTGAATTGGATGAAAACTAAAAGTACTATTGTCAACACTGCTGTAAGTTGAAAACGAAAGTAGCAGGAAGTGACATCGAGTAAAAAGGGAAGGTAACTCTTGGGAGTTTCTGAAATGAAATTATTGATAAAGTTAAATTTGGTGTAATCATCATAGGACTTAACCTAATATTCAATTTGTTTAGACATATATTATAATGTTTTTGCTACAAAATAAAGAAAAATGTTGTACTTGCCACTTTAGTTATTGGAGAACATAATTATTTCTCCCTTGCCATCTGCAGTTTTGTACTCAATATTTTCGTACCAAGTTTACAGTTACGGACAATTTCCTCAAAGACTAATTCTTTGTGTATAAAAGTTTTAATTCTATTATATTTATTTTTCATTAATTCTAATTTCAATTATAAATAATCAAAACCAAAGAACGGCACTAAAATGTAGTCTGTAGAAATAGAGTATGAATAAAGCCTCATGCTGACCATGTAGCTGATTGTAAAAGAATGTGACACATTCAAACAACAACATGTCAGCAACAAAAAAATGAGTCTTGTCATTAATTTGCTGTGTAACCTAAACAAACCCTAGTCTAGAGAAGCCTGCCTTAACAGAGCAAGTTTTGTATTATTTCACATTGAATCAATATTTTATTATATAAGCCAGTCTGATTTATGTAAAGAAAGGAACTTTTTAGAAGGCAATGAAATTTGATAACAAAGCAATGCAAATTCTTTTTATAAATTTTACCCCAGAATTTTCATTTTTCTCTAGATTTTAATAGGTAAACCACCTTGGCCCTAAAAGTTATTTGCAGCTTTATTGAACTTAAAATTAACGCTTATGAAATATTATTGATTGTTAGACATTTATTAGGTGTCATCTCATGCTTCCCAATATGTCTTTTCTCTTGTATTTTGAAGGCACTAAGCCAAAAAGGAACACACCAAAAAAAAAGTAATATGAAAAGGAATATAAATATGTTGTCAATGCATGTATCAGCCGACATGGTTACAGTAAACGAGGAGAAGAGTATTTTCAGTTTTTAAACATTTTTTTTCAGTGTCTGTGGATAATGCCACAGAAATATCAAAATATCTTCTTTCCATATGTAGTTTAAACTCTTCTTATTTAAATAATGAAAGGAAAAAAAGTTGATTAGTTGATATTTTAATAATGTTAAATGGTATATAAAACATATAGAAAGTGTTATTTTTGTACAAAATGTATCCAAAAAATAACATTTTAGTTCGGGCTAGTTAAAATGTGTTCGGGCTAGTGAAATTTGTAAGCTGCTAGCCCGACTGGGCTAGTGCTGATAGAAAATTAAGGCGAAGACTGGTATATATACAGACTAGGACGTACTTTATTTTGTCAGTTACATTATTGCCCTATTATTATTGTATAAATACAGACTAGGATATACTTTATTTTGTCAGTTACATTATTGCCCTATTATTATTGTATAAATACAGACTAGGATATACTTTATTTTGTCAGTTACATTATTGCCCTATTATTATTGTATATATATAGACTTGGGCGTACTTCATTTCGTCAGTTAAAGAACAAGAGGGATTATCATAAACACAGAAATAAAGCTTCATGGTTATACCTGTCTAGACTTGCTGCCATGAAAGAATTTGCATTTATGAAGGTATGACAAATTTTATGACCTTTATTTTGATATTGCTCATTATAATGCTCTGGGAAGTTTTTCTTTAATAATTTACCTTTGTTGTTCCTTTTGTCCAGTCACTATTATGATTTCCTTATGATATATTGATGTATTTTAGATCTATTTATTTAGCATGTTTTTACATTGGTATGATTGATAGGGTTAATTTAAATTGATAGAGTAAATGAGGCTAAAAATAAATTTTTCTAATCATACCTCATAGAATCTTCATTTATCGAACAATATTTTTGATATTAAATAAACTACTTTTTTTCCTGGACATCTGCAATTAACGTAGTTTGAAGTTATTTTAGTATGTTTTTATGAAGAAAAAAAATCACAATCTGAATGAATTTATTGGTTATCCAGCCACAAGTTGAGTTATATTTAATAGACAAGTTTTAGACCTGTATTTTATTGACATATTGCTGGGCATATGAAATATGGCTGGTTATATGACAAATGGTTAGTTATATGACATATGGCTGGGTATATGTCATATGTGCTGGGTATATGTCATATGGCTGGGTATATGTCATATGGCTGGGTATATGTCATATGGCTGGGTATATGTCATATGGCTGAGTATATGTCATATGGCTGGGTATATGATAATGGCTGGGTATATGTCATATGGCTGGGTATATGATAATGGCTGGGTATATGATAATGGCTGGTTATATGACAAATGGTTAGTTATATGACATAAGACTGGGTATATGTCATATGGCTGGGTATATGAAATTCCCTGGATTTATGACATTAGGGCTGGGTATATGTCATATGGCTGGGTATATACAGTATGATACTGGTGATTGATGATAAAAGGATTCGTCAAAATATTTAAACATTTATGAATATAATAAAGTGAATATTATATTTATTTTATTATTATGTGAATAGGCTCTGTATGATAGAGGATTTCCGGTACCTCAACCACTAGACTTCAACCGTCATGCTGTTATAATGGAGCTACTCAGTGGATATCCAATGTAAGATCTCTCTTTATTTAAACTTGATACACTGTATCTAAGTTGTAAATAAATTCTTTTTGAATTCAAAATAGAATTAATTGTCATTTTACGATTTTATACATGTATGTTTTAATTCTGCTTTAATTCTAATCAAAGTCATTGCTGGTTACTGGTATATAAACCTATCTTATGGTTAGTAAATATGGCGAATTTATAATTAAAGGTACATACTCAAAATATTTGACAGTTTTACACAACAGAATTTGTTCACTCGCTGGGTTTGAGATGTAATTTCTTAATGAATGCTGTACTATTTCACATATTAGCAAAAATTTTGTTTGACAAGTAAAACATTTTTTTTTGTAGAAATATCATTTAAGTATTAAATCATGACTTTGTTTTACAATTGGCAGGTGTCAGGTACGTGAAGTGGGTAATGCTCCCAGTATATACAATGAATGTATGGAATTACTGGTCAAACTAGGGAACTGTGGTCTTATACATGGTGACTTTAATGAGTTTAACCTGATACTAGATGACAACGAGCAAGTTACAATGATAGACTTCCCGCAGATGATTTCTACATCACATGAAAATGCTGAATGGTAAATAAACTTTTTGTTAATTAGATAGAGTAATTGTAATAATTTCTATATGAAAAATTTCTGTTATCATCTAAATTCTGGAGTAATAGTGGTGGTAAAAGTTTTATATATTTAGTGTAATCAGATGAATCTGCACATTAAAGCTTACAAATTGCAACAGGTGAAAAATGTTGGTGGTAGGTTGATTTTTTTTTTAATCTTCGGACAGACAGACTAGTATAATATAATGTTGATTTGACACACACATTAAGCCTGAGAAATAAATAAATTTTTACTTAAGAAATGGCTAACATGAATTTTTTTACTGTCTAAATAATGACTTATAGAATGTTAGATGCTTGTTACCTGAAGAAAATAGCAATAAATGTGTATTTATTTGTCAAAAAGTAGCAAAATGGAAACAATGTAGTATTTTGACTTCCTTACAAAATACTAATAATCACTATAACTGTACTAATTGCCAAAAAGCAATATAAGACAATGAATGTTCAGATAATTGACTAATGAATAACTTTTTGGAACTTATAAAAATGCACCAAAAATAAAAAAGTTTTTGAGAAATTAAATTAAAGAATTTCTGAGGCTTAATGGGCCTTTAATATAAAACAACAACAAAGACTTTACCACTTCAGTTTATACATCATACCATCAAGTTATTGTAGAAGGATTATTTATACATGTTATAAACTTTCAGGTACTTTGATAGAGATGTTACCTGTATAAGGGATTTCTTTGTGCGGAGATTTCATTATGAAAGTGAATTTTATCCTAAATTCTCTGATCTGAGGTAATGATAAAGTTCTATATTAAATCAAAATATAATTTAAAACATTTACTTGTATTACTTAAATAAAAGTATGTTTTCACTTAAATGTATTAAATGTATATTTTAAAATACTGTATATTAAGGTTTAGTTTTATCTTAAAACTTGTAAAAAGTGTAATGAAAATCTTGAAACAAATCAGTTATCATTATTTAATCATATTTCAGTTGTAGCAACTGATAATTTTGATTACATTGGCAACCAGTCAGTTTAAGACTGTGTAAATTACGTTTGATAGTTATAATCTTCAAGTTTAATGTTATCTCCAATGGTTAATTAGTTAGCTAAAACATAGCCCAATGATATTGCTTTAAAAACGGGAAAATGTAACAACAAGGTAATTTTCTTGGCATTATTGTAACATTTTGCTTATGTCTGCAAATGTACAATTGAATTCTCTTTATGACTGAAATATATGATGTTGGTTTAGAAATGTTTAAGTTTACTTTCAAGTGTTGATTATCATAAAGTAAATTGCCAGCTTTACTAGGAAATATTTAAGGTTGTTTTACACCAATACATACATTCAGTAATAACCTCCCTTTCATCTACCTGTTACAGGAGAACTGGTGACCTTGATATAGAGGTTGCAGCGAGTGGTTTCACGAAAGATCTCGCCGCAAAATTTGATGAGGCAGCTGAAGAATACAACATTCTGGGAGGTCCCGACAATCCTAGAGCAGAGGGTGATGATGATGATAGTGATGAATACAGTGATGATGATGATGATGATGAAGAGGTACAAGAGGAGGGTGAAAGTTTACCAGACATAGACGTGAAACATAAACATAGAGGAGAAGGAAAGGGAACCAGTGTTGGCGTTGATAAAAATACTAATGAAACTGGTAATGAATGTAATGATTGTGGGGACATAAAGACTGACGATATAAAGGAGGACAATAGTGATAAAGAAAAAGAACATCATGAACATGTTGTAGAAGAAGTTGAAGATGGTGAGATGTATAATATCAGTGCTCAGAATAAAGAGTATAGACCATTTAGAAATGAAGAAAGTAGAGCACATATTAACTCTCACATGCACATTGGTAGGAGCCGGAACTCGGACAGTATGTGTTCTACAAGCACAGTGTCTAGTATAGCTCCAGAGGTGATACGAGCGAAGGTAAAGAAACAACAGAAGAAACAACAACAAATATTGAAAGCTCGGAGGATAAGAAAAAGTGGGGAGGCTTCGTTACAGACAAGACAAAGACGTGATACACAGCTTGATATAAAGCAGAGTACCTCAGATGTCTGGTTCTAACAATATTATATCATAGCAATCATTGAATAACATTTATTCAACACACATTTTAAATGTATTTTTCAGCTTTCTTTATCTTCATAATGTCATACATAGCTTGTGTTTGATGATGTGATAATCTAAAATGTGAATGTGATGGCGGAGAAAAATTTTCAAATAGCTTCTTGGAAAATGTTTTTATTGTTATTGTATATAAACTATTGTTAAAGAAATAAATGTATTTGTGCTAAAGTGGTATATCATGGGATGTATAGAGTTTATAACTGTATTCATCACTATTATCAAACCTTGAGGGTGAAATCAGTACAACATCTATACAACAACCACCCTTTAGAAGTCAAAGATAATGGTTGTTACTGAGAGGTGTCTGCTCTACAGAGGTTTTATTTATTGTGAAGTCTTACTTTGGGGAAAAAATAATCAGGCTTCCACGAATGGAGTTATTTCCTCCTTGATTTTGGCTTGTGACTTCCAAAATATAATGCTTCTCCTTCTTTACCTATATAATGTGACTTCCATTATTAGACATTTTGCAGTCTCTGACTTCCAAAGTTTGGAACTTAATGGAAGCCCTGAAATAATACTGTTAAACCAATGATTTACGGAATGTTTTTAGTGATATAAAAATTGCCCTTTACTTGTAGTAAACCTCTTATTCTGGTATATTGTGCAAATTGTGCTTATTTTTGATTTTCATTTTCTGAAATAAGGCGATTGCCATAGTCGATTATTTGATATTTTTACACATATTGATGTTATGTACAAGTTACTTTGAGTTATTCTTGTAACATAATTACAGGCGTTTCAATAAATTGTGCCCATTTTGTGCCCTATCTCTTGAAGAAAATACTGTTAAATACATTATGATTTTATACCCCTTCAAATTAAATGATTAATATAATATCTTGTATGAACTTTTGTTATAGAATAAAGAGAATTAAATTGATTTAAGATTGAATGTATGTTTTTTGTGTATTCTTAGTAAATCAGTAATGAAGAAATCTTGTTAAAGCTTATCTAGGTACACGTGTATAGCTCACCAATAGAACTGGACATCACAAAAGTGGTAAATGCTATCACAATATCTAGTTATCATGCAAGAGTTTTTTATTCAGAAACTCCAACCTTATTTGTTTGTCACACAAGAGCTTTCATGCAGAAACAAGCTAACTCTTACTTCCCCAGGGAACTTTGTTTTACTTCCCCAGGGAACTTTGTTGTGAATGGTAATATGACAAAGTGTAGCAGTTGCGTAAATTTTGCATTTACCAGTCAATTACCTGATTGAGTCTGATAATAAATATTGAAAGCAAAAACTAGAACACACTATAAATTATTTTATGTTTTTATTAAAGAATAACACTATAAAAGCAACAATGTAACACAACTAAAAATAAATATATTTTATGTAACAAAATGTGGCTCGAATTGAAGTTTTTATAAATGTTCAAAAGCATCAAAATTAATTATTTAACAAGTGTATTAAATACTGGTACATGTAAGTTAATGTATTTATGGTTAGCTTGAAGACAACAAGCAATGCTGGTAATAAAAAGTTGAAATAAAACAACCTCGAATAAAACTAAAAATATATATTTGTATACATGTAATGAAAAAAATCACAGATTTTTTGTTCAGAACACAATCTTTGTAAATTTTAAGGACAACTATTAAACAACAGTATCAACCAAATGAAGTATAAAATAGTTTAAGTTACTTGGTTACTAAATATGTAAAATAAAGCCCAACATTAAACATGTGTGTAAATGATACATGAAGTTTCTGTTATAGCATGTATGACTATACTATTTAAATTATAAATTTGTCGTAAAAGGATAATGATTACTATCTTTATTGATATAATTCTAAATGATGATTCAAGTATGAAAATATGATAAATATGAAAGTTCTGTATAGTTATATTTGTTTAAAATATTTGATTTTATATTGATCCCATTACAAAATTAAAATGTTCAGAGATGCATTTCTTAGAAAATCCTACGTCTTAAATCTGTCTTAGGACCAAAACTAAGACCAATTTGTATTTCAAGGCAATTGCTCTTTATTATGACTCCTTTAATTTCTAAATAGCAATACAGTTGAACATTAACACATAATGAATTAGATTATGTGCCATTGTATTTCTTATCTTTTCTTAGGAAGGTGAATGTTAAAAGTCTAAAAGTCTTTGACTAAAGATAAAATATTCATTGAAATGGTCTTATGTTAGTCCTAAAGTTGGTCCTATGTCCTAGAATTTAGTATACGCTGAAGACTTTCAATGGAATGCAACCAGGACTTGTCTGTATATTTTAAAATTAAATAGTCATGCACGTGAAATATCTGCCTGAATTCAGCATATCTGAAATAAAATTTATGTCTTTCTTCCTACAACAGACTAAGCAGTAAGCTGTTAAAATGATATGTTACAACTGATAAGATAGATCTTTTGACCTGACAGTAAATGTTAATAAATAAATAATTAACAAATGTACAAACTGTGCAAATATTGCAGTGTTATAACTAGTCGTTGCCCGTGTTTTAACATTGTTTTTCATTATTGTAACAAATTGTTTATATTTTATACATTGCTTTTTTATATAACAACAAGGTGTTGTTTGTGTTTTAAGCATCATTTTTGGGAGGTTTTGGTTTACAGCTTTTCAAGTGTACAGGCAGCCGGTCTGGGTTGAAGGTGCGGCCACAGTTTGGGCAAGGTGCCAAGTTTGACATGGCGCTCTGATAGGCTGCCTCATTCATTGCATCTACGTCGTAACTGCCAGAACCTACAGTTATAGTTGATAAAGTATCAATAATATGTGTTTCATTTCTAATTCACAAAAAAACGTAAAGAAGATTATGGCAAAAAGAGGTTAACAATAGTAAATCTGACTAAATCTTTACCACATGTATCTATGTAAAGAAACTCTTAATCTAAAAGTTTGTCTTTTAAATGAGTTTTAAAGTTATATCAAAGAGAAGCATGTATCTTTTCATATCTAGAAACAAAATCAGAAAATGTGTATTTGTAGAACCAAATATTTTGAACATTTTGGTACATTATCCTTCACAGATACCTGCTCATAAATTATTTTATATAGGATAGCATGTTCTTAGAGATAATGTATAGTATCATACTTTAATAAATCAATAATGTTTTTACATACCTCCAATTTTTCTAACTTCAGGTTTCTTTGGTTCTGGTCTTCTTTGACCAGGAGGCATTTTAGCATTCTGTACCCTCCATTTCTCCAGACATTGTGGTTCATGTATAGATATAGACTTGGTACCAAACTCTCGACCACAGATATAACATACCATAGATGGTGGTTTCTTTATCACAGGAGCCTATGTATGATAAACAATTAACATTGATAAACAACAGTCAAAACTTTTTTCTGATGAATATAACCTTGTACACTACATAGAAGATTAAATAATTCACCGAAGACCAAAATTATGGGGTTTATAATTAAATTAACAATTTAAGACTAAGATTTAAATTGTTTTTAACTATATAAATAATAATTGTTTATAATTAAATGATTAAAGACTTAAACAAAAGTGATATAAACGTAAATAAATCATTGCTTCATAATCAACCTTAAGTAATTATTATTTGATCATGATAAAAATTTATGGTACTAAGTTAAATATAAGTTTTCAAAAGTATAAATGTGTGCAGTTAAATAATAGAGACATATATCTACCGGAGCAGAAGAGCCAAAGCCACCACTAGCACCTCCTTTAGGGGCGGAGCCACCCTTGGGTTTACAGGAGCGCTGATGGACAGGTAATCTGTCAGGTGCAAATCTACGACCACAGTTATCACATGGTAGAAGTTGAGCCTTAGCGTTCTCCCAGGCTAGATCGTTCATCTCTTCCCTGTAAATAATGTAGACAGCTGATAACTATAACTTATCACACAAACAGCTGATCACAAGAACTGTTATTACTTAAACAACTGTTATTACTTAAACAACTTAGAGTAACAGTCTTAATAATATTAAATGTATACTCTTTATATACTCTTTAAGACAACTGATCATCTTTTACAAACATTTTAAAAACAGACATTTAATTAAGCTGATGAAAACATTGCCCACAGGTTGACATTATTAAAAATGATGAAAACATTACTCTGATAGATAAATATAAATTGTAGTAAATTAACACTAACAAATAATCAAAAATACTTCAAAACATAACTAAAGAAATTTGTATCAGAAAGACTTCTTTAGACATATTCAGATTGGTGGAAAAAAACTTTTTTATAAAAAAAAGTTTTTGAAGCCAGAATCCCTGATGCCTGCTTCTACATTAACATGTTCACACAAAGCTGTACCCATTACATTTTAATGAAAGTTAAAATATATGACTCCTTAAATCATTTACTTTGTCATGCCGCCAGTTGGTTTTTTAGGAACAGGTCTTCTCTGTCCTTTTGGTAGTTTGGAATTTTCCACTTTCCATTTCTCCAGACACTGTGGCTCGTGGATACCTATAGACTTAGATCCGAACTCTCTTCCACAAATGTAGCAGACAACAGTACGTGGACCACCTTTTGCTCCTTCTTTTGGTGGCTTTGGTCCACCTGTTAAAGAGTAACAAGATAAAAAATTTAAGCTTATCAGTTTTTTATAAAACTTATCCCAAATGACTACTTAAGGTATCGTTACTGTTTTAAGTATGTCTTAAACCTGAGAACAGGTTAGTATCTTTATGACTGCCAGCTCACACAGTCAATGAAAACTTAATCATTTCTTTTTTTTTAATTACTTGTTTAAATAAGTAAATACTTGAACATTATATCCTAGCACTACAAAGATAAAAGATAATCTTGATTGAACCAAAGTGAACCTTATAGGAAAGTATATGTACATTTTCAAGTTCGCATTATGTTAAATAAATCCACTACTATTAAAAATATTTCAAAACCAGATGACCAAATTTCATCACTACATTTTCTTCTGAGTTTACCTCCAAATGACCCTGAACCTGAAGTAGACTGTGTACCACTGGTACTTGGTTTAGGTGCTGACCCATCTTTAGGTTTACACGCACGTTGATGAACAGCCAGTCTATCGGGAGCAAATGTTCGTCCACAATTTTCACATGGTATCAACTGGGCTTGAGAACTTTTCCAGGCAGCTTCGTTCATAGCATCAACATCATACTGACCGCTACCCACGGCAACTTCAGGTTTTTTTGGAACTGGACGCCTCTGCGATTTAGGTAATTTATCGTTTTCTATTTTCCATTTTTCTAAACACTGAGGTGAATGAATGTCTATTGATTTTGTGCCAAATTTCCTACCACATATATAACATAGAACAAATTTTGGACCTGGTGGTACGATAGACTTTGGTGGACTAGGATTATCAGAGGTATATGTTCCTTCCCGTTTTATACCTGGACCATCTACAAACTTCTTAGAAGCACCACTTCCTCCTTGTTGGGCAGGTTTTGCTCCACCTTTACCAGAATTTTTACAAGCTCTCTGATGAACAGCAAGGCGATCTGGTGCAAAAGTTCTGCCACATCCATCACAGGGTATTAGTTGAGACTGTGCACTTCTCCAAGCTGCCTCATTCATAGCATCCACATCATATTTCCCACCTGACTGTAGCACTTCTGGTTTCTTTGGCAGTGGTCGTCTTTGACCTTTTGGTAGTCGGTCATTTTCAATTTTCCATTTTTCCAAGCACTGAGGTTCATGAATAGCAACAGATGCTTCTCCAAATTTACGTCCACAGATATAACACAGTACAAACTTAGGTCCAGCTGGTGGTTTCATCTTAGACTGGTTACTTGAGGCAGTCTCTTTCTTTTTAGTTGGAGACACAGTCTGTTTGGTATTTGTTGGTGTTCCGGCAGACTGGTTAGAGTCCGGCCTATCACCTGTCCTAGTTGTTTGTTTCTCCAAAGCAACACTGTTCTCTTCATTGACAACTTTTGGATTAACAACTGTTGCTGTTTTTGGGCGGAACTCTGAGTCATCATTTTGCTTTACAGCAGCCGTATTTTGTTTACCTGTATACAGAATAAATCAACCTTAAACAGTACTCAATAAATTTAGACATAAAATCTTACCTAATTCACTTAGTCCTAACATTTTACCATTCACTTTAATAGTTCACAACTAAATTTAATTATAACTTGCTTGAATTAAGCCTAAAAGATATATAACATGTAGATATGCATAAGTAAAAAGGCTTCTGTGATTTTTATTTCATATCTAGTCAAGTATAGCGACCAAATATAAAAGTAAATATTGATCTCATTTCCATTCAAATAAAGCCATTATTGATCGCAGGAGTTTACCCTATAAAATCAATACTATATATTAAGATATTGAACATTTGAATCAACAAATAAACTACCTGCCAATACATGCCCTCTATAAATATTTTATACATTTAAACTGTCACCTAGAAGCCAGAGTTTAATATACAGTTTATTATACCACATCTTAGAGATAATTAGATTTATAATAAAATTAATTATTTTTTCAAGCTAAACAATTACAATTTGTTAACTTCCTTTATATTTTGTAGTGAATTATTCATTAAAGCTGGCAACAATAATGCCTGTTTTACATGGGTTATTTCCCTGTTTTACAGTTACTAATTTGAATTATTTGATATAATGATATTGTTACATGTTATGACGTAAGATAAACATCAGTTTTTTTGGTGTTGTTGTGTTTTTCTTTTTTTAAAGAAAATCTATTTTTTTTCTCAATAATTCAATTTAATTCTAATTTTTTTTTAAGTTCTGAGGTCCTTTCACAAGTTAACAATTTTTAAATGATATATCTGCCTATTATGAATATTAAATAGTTAAATCACTGTAAGGTTTTAATCTATTTAAATAAACCATGCTGTTGATTAAGAGAGTTATATAACTATTAAGAATGTCAATGTTTTCTGCTTTAATCTCAACTAAGTTACAACACAAATCAAGTATATTGATGTAGTCAACATTATGCTTAAATCATAAACTTTGATTAATTCTAATTTATATTTTCAGCGTAAATTAAATGAATGATAAAGTAATATAGCAACAGTAAAGCTCTATTAATTCATTATTTCAGGTACAATTTAACTTGCATCTGAGATTTAAAACCAATTTATATTATATTATCTATCTGGATAGCTTCACATGAATGTATTTTAAGTCCCTGTCAAGATTTATACCCAATGACAGTAGACAAGAGATATTACATTTAAAGTAAACATATCAGCTTGTAATTTATTTATATACGTAACTAAAAGGTAAATATCAAATCAGTATATTATATAATATATTGATGATGGCTTATGAAATATGATGCATTTTCCATGTACATATATACAGATTAGTATTTAATACTATGATAAAACTGATGTGGCCAAACTCAAACAATCATAAATGAAGAAATTTTATGTTTTAAAGTTGGCCTAAAAATGTGGTGTTGGTCTTGTGGTTATGCAACTTGTGTTAACAATAGTGAGTTGAACATCATCAGAGTTTGAATCCACCTGGGGTGATAATCATGTTTCTTCACATTACACCAGTACTGATTATTCCTGGAAGTTTGACTCGAATTTGTTCTTTTAAACCTCAAGCCTTCTTCACAATCTTACATAGCTATTGTTTAACTCAAAATCCTACCTGGTTTACAAGACCTTTGATGTATTGGTAATCTATCTGGATTAAATGTTCTCCCACAATTTTCACACTGCAGTAACTGTCCTTGAGCACTTTTCCACGCCGCCTCATTAAATCTTTCTATATCAGAATTATTTCCGTTACCAACAGATGGCAAGATCTCTGGCCGTGTAGGTGTTTTCCTCCGCTGAGCTTTAGGAAGTTTATCATTTTCAGCTCTCCATTTTTTCAGGCACTGGGGTTCATGTATTGACAAAGATGAGGAACCAAATTCTCGGCCACAGATATAACATACAACAGTTTTCTTCCTGCCAACAGCTGGAGGCATGATGTGTTGGTATTAGCATGAAATCTTCAAACTTGTGTCTGTACATTAGGAAAAGAAATACAGATATTTAAATTAACAGTTAGTTAAGTTAATCAAGATAAAGCAGGTGCTAGTTGGAATAAGAAATGTTACACTTATATGAATTGACCGAGTCAAAACAAGTCTAACTTGATGATCCTCATCTCTACAGGGAATCCCCCTTTTTCCAGAATTTTTCTCAAAAAAGTTATATTTTATTTTCTTTTGTGATAATTTTAAATAATTATGAAGCTTATGACACATCTGTTTCTGGAGGACAGGTTATTAAACATATCTGACAGGTCACAGTTCATGTGTTTTGTAACTCGTCAAATAATTCAGACATTTTGGCAGAAATTATATGATTTCTGCTGAAACTCAATCAAGTACAGCGTTCTGTCATATTTTTTCTCAACTGTTAATTGGTTGAAACTACTAACCATCTCAAAGTATATAATTAATACCATATAAACTTATGATGCCATTCAACAGTATTTCAACTTCCCTTATATCTCAGGTTAATCTTACACTAAAGATAAGGCAAATGTAAAACATGATCTTCACTTTCTATCAATTTAAATATAAACCTTAAGTTTGATAATCTAACAAATTGTATAAAACAACAAAAATTTATAAAATATCAAATTTTTTAAACAACAAGATCTTATTTGTCGCCAAATCACAATTATAAAGGTCAAACATTCTAAAAGTTTCCCTAATATAGCAAAATATGTCAAGGGAAGTAACTGTAAGACAACACTAGAATGTTTTGACAATTGAATTGTTTCCCTTTGATACCAAGTATACAAACTACTCTATAAGATTTAATAGCTGTAACTACATGTGCAGGACTTCCAAATAAAAAAAGACAAATTCTATAAATAACAACAAGATCTAATTTGTCAACATATCATAATTACATGTATCTCTTTCATTTATTAAGGTCAAACATTCTAAAAGTTTCTCTAATATGACAAAATATGTGAAGGGAAGTAACTGTAACTGTACTAAAATGTTTTTACAACTGAATTGTTTCCCTTTGATAACAATTATCAAACTCTAGTGCATAAAACCATTACAAATACATGTATAACTGTTGTAGAAATCTACAAATTGATGCTACGTACCAAATATCTAGGCTCTGGGTTTTGCAGTTTTATACATGACTTAAATGTATTTTGCTATATAAGTCTTGTTTTGCTATATAAGTCTTTATAAATCAATTGACCCTTGGACATGCCAATATTGACCCTAGGGGCATGATTAATATCAGTTTTGCAGAGGTCAACAAGGTTATGCTGCATGCTAAATATCATAAGCTCTTGGCATTATAGTTTCTCACATATAAGGATCACTTCTCCGTAAAATGTCTGTTCATCTGTCAATCTGTCTGTCACATAACTTGTCTGCACTACTCCTCAAAAATAATTGGTGCCATTTTATCCAAAATGTACAGAAATGCTCAGTACTAAGTCTAGTACCTGGCATGGCCAAGTGGTTAACAAGTTGGACTAGTAATCTAATGATCACTAGCCGCATGGATTCAAACCCCATCACGGGCAAGTCATTGTTTCCTTGAGGAAGAAACTTTACACTCATTGCTCAGTACTGGTTGGTTCCAGGAATAGATTGGAAAGTGTGTCTATAAGCATATCGCTTTCTATACAATTAAACTAAAATGAATTCTGTATAAACCAAGTCTAGTAGTTCATATCGTTTGCATTTTCCGGCTCAATGATTTTTGTCAGAGTTATGGCCCTTAAATGATTTTAATTTTTAAAAATTGTCTGGATAACTCCTCTTATATACTACTTGTGCAATTTCAGTGAAGCTTTACAGGATTGATCGGTAGCTAAAGTACTTATGTATATTATACCGGTTTTCAGCCAACTTGGGGAAGGATATGTTTTATGAGGTAACACATGATCACGGATCGCTCTTGTTTCAATTTAAGTCTATATAAATCAAATTACATTCGAGCCAGGCTATATCTATCAATTTCTGGATACTGCCAAGCCCTTTCTCGAGTGTTACAGGCACATCTGATTGTAAGTAAAGGTGAAAGAACAGCAAAATAGTCCAAGTATTATAAACATGCTTAAAAGGTGTGACTGAACATGTTTTCAAGTTATGGTTAAAATGTTAATCATGAAAGAAGAAGATAAAGGATAAAATAGTTACAAACACTGGGAGCAAGACTAGTACTGCAAACCCACCACTGCCTGTTTGACTTAAGTTTGGCAGGGTGGCAATGTAGCTAGGGAGTTTACTTTATTCCTAGAAAAGATTTCGCGCATTTTAAGTTAGCGGTTTTCGAGGTAGGCATGATTCCGCGAATCTTTATAGCCGCGAATATGTCACTTATAACAAATCCGCGAACATTTCTAGCTTCAACCAAATATAACATAAAAAGTGCAGAATATTTATTATGATCTACTTACACAAAACAACATATAAACACAGGTTTTAGAGAAATGTGTAAAGACTTATTTATGTATGTTATTGATACCAGTTTTCACGTTGAAAAAGAAAATATCAATTATTAGTAATTAACATGCTTATTGACGTTATTTGCTTGAGAAACGCATTTACAGTTTGCGAACATTGAATGACTTGGATTTCATTTGCTTGGAGTAGGTGTAATCCTTTGTTAAAAGTACAATAGCGATCAAGTGCTACATTGATAAACAGCTGTTATGTTGTTAAATGAAAGCGATGTACAGTCCTATAATGTGTAAAAAAAATACTTATCTACATTTTGGAGATAGAGTCAGTTATTATTCAAATGAGAATAAAAGCTAACTGGTCTGACTAAATCTTACTTAATAACATAATGAAAAAGGTAAGGAAATATGAAGGTGTTGGCGGAACAACCGTCCTTGTTCGAGTAGTCAATAGATGAAAATGTATCGAGTAACCTTGCGCTTTAGGGGTGACTTGAAATAAAATAATTAAAGCACCCACCAGGCAAGGTCATGCATGAAAAACATAACCTCCAAAAACTGTAATTTAGGCCGTAGCGACTTAACATTCGCGGAAATCGCGGTTAGTACATATCCGCGAAAGTTTGTCTCCGCGAAAATGCCGACGTTGTAAAAAACGCGAAATATTGTATCCGCGAACATTTCTAGGAATTAGGGTTTCTTAATCGGACAAAAATCATAATCGATCATCGAAAATAATCGAACAACCCTTTTCGATCAATCATCGATTATATAATCGAAACATTTATGATAACAAAGTAAAAAAGTATAATGTACATATCATGCTTTAATATTTATAAGAATTCCATTTCCATGTGACCACCACTTTATCAACTGAAATAAATTAATTTTAAGATATACTATGCTCATCCTTGAGTAAAATATTTTAATCAAATAAATTCATTAAAATCTATGAAATTATTATGTCTCACTTTCTAAAAAGGAATGAATAAACTATGTATGGGAACAAGTTAAGTTGGTCGATCTGTTCTTAACAAAACTGCCAGTTTTTTTTAATGACACTATATATTGATATTGCAACCACCTATAGTGAGTAGAATAATTTTATACATAACATATCTTTTTGTGTGAAGTCAAAACATGTTTATTTTATATTTACAAATAGAAGGTATAGCAATTTTAAATATTTTCTAATGTCAAATTTGAGCATAGTATACCTTTAAAATAGCATGCCTGATTGTCAACTATTAACTCAATGGTCACCAGTATGCTTTCATATTCAATTGAATGAAAATTATTGTTTCAAACAAAACTGGCTTTAATTTAGAGTGTTGTTATAATACAGTTAGTCACTTAAGTAACAGCAAGAAAATAAATTGCCGATGATCGATTATTAAACTTTGTAATCGATCATCGCCGATAGGTTCTATAACCGATCAATTTTCGATTATCCTCGATCATCGTTTAATCCCTACTAGGAATACAGTATTTCAAAGTATAATGCTGAGGGAAGAAAGAGTACTTATGGTAGTCGGAGGAAACCTGTATTTGGCGTAGGGATAAGGGATGCATATGTCTGGTTAACCTATGTGGGGTTTAACCATATGGTGGATGATTAATTGCAACCATATTATTTTACATGTATAGCTATAAACATTATCAGTCTACAGTCCAATCTGCGATGTTCAAGGGATCGCCAGCCCAGTTCTTTCTGCATGGCTGTGACACTAGAGAGAGGGGAGTAATCCCTTTTTACCCATCGTATTGCAAGTCTCTGGATCATCTCAACTTTGTCAATAAATAGTTGAAGCATATTCAACCTGTGGCCAGACCAGGGACTTGTATGCTAGTTCTTTCACTTGTTCATTTTTAGTAATTACATTCTTTTTGATAAAGCCAAGGGATCTGTTTGCATTCGAAGTTATTAGATATATATATATGTGTTACATTTAAGGTCAGCAGACAGATCTTGTCCGAGATATTTAAACATTTGAGACCGACTCTAGGACTTGGCCATGGAGCATATATTGGTGTTTAATTATGGTTTTGTTTTTGATGATATGGATAACTTGGCACTTTGAAGGGTTAAAAGACATGTCCCACTGCTTCTCCCACAGATCCAAATTGTCTAGATCATGTTGGAGTTTTGGAGGTCTGAGGATGACTTGATGGTTACATGTAGGTATACAGCAGTATCGTCTGCAAATAATCTGACTTGGAATTTAAGGACAGAAGATGGTAGCTTGATGATTTATAGGAGGAAACAGAGGGGCCCTAGGATTGATCCTTAGTAACTGGAACTTCAGATGAGCAGTCACTATCCACAACTACCGTATGTACTCGGCCAATAAGGTAGGACTGTATTCATTTTAAAATTTGAGGACAGACACCATGTTCTTGAAGAGTATCTAATAGTTTAAGAATTAGATGGTTTACTTTATCAAAAGATTTACTGAAGTCAAGTAGTATGAGATCTGTTTGCCATTTGAAAGGTTGATCACAAGGTTATCAGTTAGCTTAATGAGCTGTGTCTCACATGATCGTCTTTCTCTGAATCCGATCGACTGATATATTGATGCAAGGGCCCAGATTAAAAATTAACATCAGTTTTGTTGAGGTCCATCAGGAAATGCTACATGTTTAAGCTCTCAATCTGCATTGTGGTTTCACACAATACCACTCAAATAAGTTCTATCGATTCAAAAGCAATCTCATTGAACCATATCCTAACTGTCTCTCCACTACCCTTCACCTGCGAACCCTTTACCCGCGAAGATAGTCTCAATATTTCGACTGCAAGACCGACCAATTTATAATCTGATTTTTCATAGATGTCTGTCTATACGAAGGGCGACCATTGTCTATATAATAAAAAGCCCTAAAGCGCACAATATGTTGGGCTACCCGCAAAGAGTAACTGAGAAAGGGATGATCTGCTTTTAATGAGATAGGTTCAGGTTCATTTTATGTATTTCGGCACTGTATTTTGGCACTTTCATAAATTCATATTTCTTTGGTTGAAACTGGCAATTATTGATCTTTATTTATTAAGGTGTTTGTTAATTTGTGTCCTTTACAGGCATAAACGCTGCCATTCTTTCATAATTTGAAGAATGACCATATACATCAATACAACTACTTATGTACTGTTAATGTTCTAATGTGACTGTCTTTTGTATATTTGTTCTTTAAAATTTTGAATTCTTTGCCAGAATCTGGCAAACTCTGTGGTTTTCATCTGTCTTGGAGGACTAAACAAACTGTGCAGAAGATAGGCTGTTTAAAAATGATAGATCGATCTATAGTTTCAATTTTATATCCTCTTTCAGCTTTTCATTAACACAACAAATTTGATTAAATTACTCACAAACAAATATTACAAATGAACTTAAAATATCTACCTGTCTATAGCATGCGTTCCTTCACGGATTCACGTAGGAGTGTTGTGGAGGCAGCCATTTTTAAACAACTTTTCCAAGCTTGGCAACGACTTTCAATTTCAAAGTATTTCGTGCAAAAGAATACATTACAAAATATAGATTTTTTAAGAAAATAAGAAACAAAATCTCTGTAAATTCAGCTAAATTTGCGCAAGATTTCAATCAAACCAAGAACACATGCAACAATTTTTTTGACAGAATGTAAACACGGAAGTAATTTTGACTCTCCAGAAAGGAAGGTAAGAAAGTGCAACGCGGAAATGGCGCGTCCGTCATCTGCTCGGCCGTCATCAGCCTGTAGATCTAACTCACTATCAGTTGTACCCAAGCTTAAAGACTTTGTTTTTACTGAAAAACTTGGAAGTGGGACATACGCTACTGTGTATAAAGCATACAAGAAGGTATAGCATTTAATGTACATTTGACATATGTTTTCGCGACAACTTTCGTTTTGATATTTTTTTATTATTTTTATTTCAAGTAAGTTTGTGAATACATATGCATATATTTCCTACTTTTCTATTCTAAATTTCAGTCAAATAACATACCCTTTTTTAATAAATCCAACAACATGATACATCTTGAATTTTCTTTTTTCTCAAATTGGCTATATCCTGGAATAGACCCCGGGGTCTAAACCGGTGCATAGAAAAACCGGAAAGCACCGGATAGCACCGAAAAACCGGAAAGCACTCAAATTTCTCATAAAAACATATGAAAACGTTAATTAATCGGTTTGAAAGTGTTACCAATCGATTTATTAGATCAAAATCTTTCAGACAAGTCATTTTTATAAAAATATATTGATAATTATTACGAGTATTTAGGAAAATAAGATATATCGTGTGCTTTCCGGTCCTGCTAAGATACATGTACATTACCGGATAGCAATATTGTTTATAAAAGTTATACATGGATACTTTATTTTATTGGTTTGAAAGTGTTACCAATCGATTTATTAGATCAAAATCTTTCAGACAAGTCATTTTTATAAATATATATTGATAATTATTACGAGTATTTAGGAAAATAGATATATCGAGTGCTTTCCGGTCCTGTTAAGATACATGTACATTACCGGATAGCAATATTGTTTATCAAAGTTATACATGAAAACTTTATTTTATTGGTTTGAAAGTGTTACCAATCGATTTATTATATCAAAATCTTTCAGACAACACGTTTTTGTAATTATATTATGATTATTTTTACGATTATTTAGGAAAATAAGATATATCGAGTGCTTTCAGGTCCTGCTAAGATACATGTACTTTACCGAATAGCAATATAGTTTATCAAAGTAATACATGGAAACTTTATTTTATTGGTTTGAAAGTGTTACCAATCGATTTATTAGATCAAAATCTTTCAGACAACATGTTTTTATAAATAATATAATGATAATTATTACGAGTATTTAGGAAAACTGATATATCGAGTGCTTTCCGGTCCTGCTAAGATACATGTACATTACCGAATAGCAATATTGATTTGTTTATCCAATTAATACATGAAAACTTTATTTTATTGGTTTGAAAGTGTTACCAATCTATTTAGTAGTTGAAGATCTGTATATCATGACGTTTTTATAAATATTTTATGTTTCATTACGCGATTTTCAAAGTTGTTACAAAGTTGTATTGATTGCTTTCCGGTAATGCTAAAGTACATCTACTTTACCGAATAGCACTCGAATATTTATATAAATCACACTTATCCTTCATATTATTATGTGAAAGTGTTATAAATTGATTAATTAAGTTGAACTTATTTCATTTATAAATATTATGATTAGTTACACGATTTTTCAATCTTGCTCATATCAATGTATCATATTTCTAATATTTTATAGGTTGTGTGAATGACAGAAAGAGGATGTGTAAAAAGTACCAATAAGTTATTCAAAGCATTAAACCATATTTTTTATAATTATATTTTTATATTATGTAAAATAAAGAAAAACTTATAAATGTTCGTTCAGTTATGTCTTTATTTTTACCATACTATGTGTACCGAAAAGCAATGTGGTCATCAGTGGAGGACAGTAGTTGTTGTATTGTTTATCACACGTGCTAATCCATGCTGATTAAAGACCTTGTATATTGTAGCACAAAAAGGTGATGATTTAATCAATTTGTACACAATTATGATAATTGAGAGTACCGACCTGCACATCAAAGTTGCATTAATTAGACACTGTCCTTTACATGCACATTAAATTAGATAATTAGAAAATGCAATTAACTACACACTCTTTTGATATAAAAATTAATTTTGTTTAATGAAGATTATTACGGCACTCATGAAAAGAAATGTTTGTAACGGATATATACGAAATCTCTTAGAACTTTATATCAAGGTGCTATTAAAATTTACTCTTATTTGAATAGAATTGTATATAAACCTCAACACGAGTTGCCGAGCTTGCTGACTATTTGCCCTCTGACCCCTTTTTAAATGAATTGTTTGAAATTGACGAATCTTCTATATCTCATCTTGATAGCTATGTAATACTTGAGAAATTATCAATTAATCTTGATAGGAAGTCAAAAGATAAAAGGTGTAACTCCCATGGATTAATGCTAATTGATTTATGTAGGAATAATAACCTATTAATTGTAAATGGTCGCTATGGCAATGAAGAGGAGCATCTGAGTTCCCCCACAATCGGATGAATACTTATATATATCTATTGTAAAATTATTGTATCATTCATGTTATAGATCTGCTTTTTATATATATTTTTTATGGAAAATTCGAGTGCTATTCGGTACATATACTTAACAAAACCGGAAAGCATTCTCAATTTATTTAACATTCATAAATCTTTTAAATAATCATAGAATTGAGAATAAAACATGAAATAATACTGTATCATACCTAATAAATCGATTGGTAACATTTACAATACAATTAAACAAAGATCTTATGTGATTGTTTGAGAAATTAAATTGCTATTCGGTAATGTATATGTAACTTCACAGGACCGGAAAGCACTCGATATATATATCTATTTTCCTAAATAATCGTTATAATAATCATATAATAATTATAAAAACATGTTGTCTGGAAGATTTTGATATAATAAATCGATTGGTAACACTTTCAAATCAATAAAATAAAGTTTTCATGTATTACTTTGATATTGCTATTCGGTAAAGTACATGTACCTTAGCAGGACCGGAAAGCACTCGATATATCTTATTTTCCTAATCAAACGTAATAATAATCATATTATAATTATAAAAACATGTTGTCTGAAAAATTTTGATATAATATATCGATTGGTAACATTTTCAAACCAATAAAATAAAGTATCCATGTATAACTTTTATAAACAATATTGCTATCCGGTAATGTACATGTATCTTAGCAGGACCGGAAAGCACACGATATATCTTATTTTCCTAAATACTCGTAATAATTATCAATATATTTTTATAAAAATAACTTGTCTGCAAGATTTTGATCTAATAAATCGATTGGTAACACTTTCAAACCAATAAAATAAAGTTTTCATGTATAACTTTGATAAACAATATTGCTATCCGGTAATGTACATGTATCTTAGCAGGACCGGAAAGCACACGATATATCTTATTTTCCTAAATACTCGTAATAATTATCAATATATTTTTATAAAAATAACTTGTCTGCAAGATTTTGATCTAATAAATCGATTGGTAACACTTTCAAACCAATAAAATAAAGTATCCATGTATAACTTTTATAAACAATATTGCTATCCGGTAATGTACATGTATCTTAGCAGGACCGGAAAGCACACGATATATCTTATTTTCCTAAATACTCGTAATAATTATCAATATATATTTATAAAAATGACTTGTCTGAAAGATTTTGATCTAATAAATCGATTGGTAACACTTTCAAACCGATTAATTAACGTTTTCATATGTTTTTTATGAGAAATTTGAGTGCTTTCCGGTTTTTCGGTGCTATCCGGTGCTTTCCGGTTTTTCTATGCACCCGGGTCTAAACCAGGAGTATATATAAGGTTCATTCCGTTTTCTTTAGTGTATTATATACAGGTTTTACTTCTGAAATATACATGTGTACATAGGGGTCTAATCCAGGAGATTGCCCTCAAATTTTGCCACAGTCAATTTGGGTGTGGAGCTCAATACGCCTTTAAAATCCAAATAAAAAATGTATATTTGTCAATCCCAGCACATGTACTGATCATATATATATAAAAAACCTTAATATTAGTCGTTTTGAAAGAAAAATCATGATATTAACTTCTATAATACAGGGATTTACCAACCTTTTTTTATTAGGGGTGCATTGGATGCAGGATCTATAAAAACAGGGGTCCACCACAAAATTTTGTGGGTCCAACCTCTTTACTCTTTAGATCATTCACAGCTTAACTGGCAGTTGCAAAATTACAACGCATTCTCAGGACCTGAACACTATTTGTGTGGATTTTAAGATGACACATTAATGTTGGGTTTTGTAAGTTTGTCAACCCTCCATAAAAGGGTTTGTCAAACTTTTGGTCATAATGAAAGTGTTACAAAACATCCATATGTTTGCCCTGTAGCTCTAGATAACCATGAATTTGTATCTAACTAGACAGACCGGAATGTTCTGTCATGTTTCAGTTTTGTGGACTGCTGGGATGATGTACTCTCTTTAGTAACAGCTAGTCAACAAGACTGGCTCATAGTCATCTAGTTTTTTTTTTTGAACCACCCAAATTAAGTCAGCCTGTTTTGCCATCGTGTAAACAGAAAGTACTTTCATAGATAATGGTAACAACCGAGCGCTTCAAATAAAGCATTCCTGACAATAATATCCTGGATACGCAAGTGCTCACTAATGATTGGCCGGTATTTTAAATGCAGACAGTAACTAGCCAATAAACTGACTTGTTACTATAAATTCGCAGACCCTGCCTTTGACTTCCCCGTATAAAGTCCAGGATTGTTGATCCCTGACAAGCCCCCATATTATGAACACAGTAATTATATAAATCTGGGACATAATAAATTAATATAATGTGACAGGAATCTGAACTTATGTGCTGTGTTATCTCTTTGGCACCCTCAGGTGTCTTGTTGAGTGTATTTTTTGTCCATACAAAAATAGTGTAAAAGTATATAAGAAGAATTTAAGCAAACTGGTGTAAAATTTTGTCAGTCCTTTAAATAGTATTTAAGTTGTCTTTACATGATTTATAAAATTCATCTTTCTTATTTTCATAATAATGACATCAATGTAGGAATTGACAACTATGATTAATGATAGATCGGGTATCAATTGAAAGCCAGTTCATATGACGGCTTAACTAGTAGGTGGTTACTTAATTAATTATGTCCCAGCATAAATCAAGTTAGGTATACACCAAAGGTGTTGCATGGTCACATTGAACAATTGAACTAAATTAAATAAAAATCTGGATTATTGAATAATGTTATTGATCTTTCAATATTATCCTTTTACCCCATGAGCATATTGCTAAAAATGGCCGTTTTCATTGAAAAGCCTCTTGTAACAAGTTCAAACTGCTATGAAACTATGAAAAATGCTTCAATACTGATGAAACATGGCACAAATGTTGACTACACCATAGCCTCTGTAACAGCATGCTCAATCGTAAATTTCATGTTACAATGGCAACGGGGGGACGCCTCAAAATTGCCAGAAATCACTATTTTGCATTGTTTTTTCCATCAAAACTGTTTTCAAAGTGCTGCAACTTCTCAATGAATTGAGATAGAGTAAAAGGCTTTTCAGCGTAGGTTACTTGTTACCCTAAGATCGACCTGAGGCCATTTTTAGCCTGTCACATGCAGACCTGGGGTAATCACTAATCGTAATCATCGATTTTTTAATTGATTACATGATTACACTGTAATCATCATGTAATTGATTACCTTGCTGAAAATTGATTACATTTATTGTAATTAATCAATTACAGCTTAAATTCAGTCTGTAATTATGATTACAATTTGATTGATGTTGATTACTTTCAGATTTTACATGAAACTATTGAAATTCAAATGATTTATTTCACATGTTACAGTTTAACTAAGGTAGTAAAATATCAAGTGAGACATTTTAAGACATCACTCATAATGAAGAAATAAGTTTTCATCCATACAGTTAACCAAATTCTAACTGAAAGATAGACATCATTGTTTGGCTTGTATTCTAACCAAAATGTCAAATCATTGGATTTATGATGTTTTTGAATTTCCTAAAGAAACATCTGGAAATGTGACAGCACAGTGTAAATTGTGCCCGAAGAAGATAAATGGAAACACTATGTCACATTCAAATTTCATTACCCACATAAAGGTATGTTAAATTTTGTTTCACATATTTTGGTTTAACCATGTTTTAAAAAATGTTTTAAACAATGAAGATAACTTCTTTACTTTGTATATTCTAGAGTTTATGTCAGATGCATATTACCATATTTTAATTATATGCAACAGTTATTTTGTAAGGTGATAGACAATGTGTCTATATTATAATGGAAACTGTTGTACCATTGAAGTGTTTGTAAAAAAATTGATAATTTCTTTGTAAAGTCTATTGTCTCTTTGCATACAAAAAATTATTTTTTTCACACCTGTTTTAACACATGTATACAGCATACTGTACAATTGACACTTTTCAAAATTTCTGTTGCAGAGAGTTCATTATGAAACCTACACCAAGAAGACTAAGGACCATTCCTGCATCATCAGCCCCTGTAGAGCGTTTGCTTAGTGTTGTTGGTAAAATTTTTCGTCCTGATACTGATAGATACAGTCTGACTGACAGACGGTTTCATGAAAACTTATGATGCTAAAATGCAATGCTAAAATATGATAAAGTGATGTGACAGGAACTAAAAGTGTGTTAAAATGATGACTGTTGATGAGCTGGAAATCCTTTGTGTATATAATGTATATAATGTATAATAATATTAAATAGCATTAAGAAACTTTTGTTTATAGTTATACATTGAATGTAATCAATTATCAATCAATTACTTTCTTAAAGTAATTGTAATTTAATTGATTACAGAGGCAAGTCTGAGTAATCAATTGTAATCAATTACAATAAAATCTGAAAGTAATTGTAATTAAATCAATTACTGATCAATGTAATCATCCCCAGGTCTGGTCACATGTCCAAAAATTTTTTGGCGATGAGGGGGACTCCGCCCCCCTTCAAATCCCCCAAACAGAAGGGGGCACAACCCCCTTCTGGCACCCCACTGATGTAACATTTGGAAGGGGACAGCGCCGAAAAAGTGGTCACTTTTTTTAACAACATTTCTCAAACAAAAACCAGTGTTTGGGGCCTAAATAGGGCATTTTTTCACTGTTTGAGGCCTCAAAAAGGGGGGGGGGATAAAGGATTATATTTTTGGATGAATAAATCAATTTGACCAGCACTTTTAACTTAATGTGCAAGCTAAACATAACAATTATGATATTTACATGGTCACAGTTGACAGTGAGTGGTGCATAAATAGTTTATGCATCATAACAGAAACTGTAAAACTATTGCTAAAAAACGTGGCAATGCAAAACAGCATCTTAAATGTCAAATTAAGTAATTATTAAGATATGAAGTAATTCTGTCTCACTATTTGCAGTCTGGATCCAGAGAGGTGGCTGCAATAAAGTGTGTACTAAAAAGCAGTTTGAATAAAGCATCAACAGAAAATCTTCTCACGGAGATAGCTCTTCTAAAAAAACTAAAACATGAAAACATTGTTGAACTTAAGGACTTCCAGGTATGTTTATGTATTTTAGTATCTAGACAGTTCATTTATTAAATACATTTTAAAACATATCATTAAAATCTACTTTTTTTCAAAGTATGATAATGCCCAATGTCAATTATTAATCATATTTTTAAACATATCATTAAAATCCATTTCTTTTCCAAGGATAATAATTATGACATCTGCCCAATGCAATGAATTATAATTAATATTGGGCATTAAAAAAAATACATATATTAATACCTTAAAAATTATACAACTTTCAAAATTGAGTATTGAATCATTGTAAAAAGTTTGAAAATTCTAAAATGCCTGTATATATAATTAATAGACAATATATATTGATGTGTTATAAAGTGGGATGACACGTATATCTACCTCATTATGGAGTACTGTAGTGGTGGAGACCTCTCACATTTTATACGCAGTAAGAGAATGCTACCAGAACACATTGTCAGAAAATTTCTACGTCATATAGGTAAACACCATACAAGACTTGTTTATATGTCAGAAAATTTCTACGTCATATAGGTAAACACCATACAAGACTTGTTTATATGTCAGAAAATTTCTATGTCATATAGGTAAACACCATACAAGACTTGTTTATATGTCAGAAAATTTCTACGTCATATAGGTAAACACCATACAAGACTTGTTTATATGTCAGAAAATTTCTATGTCATATAGGTAAACACCATACAAGACTTGTTTATATGTCAGAAAAATTTCTATGTCATATAGGTAAACACCATACAAGACTTGTTTATATGTCAGAAAATTTCTACGTCATATAGGTTAACACCATACAAGACTTGTTTATATGTCAGAAAATTTCTACGTCATATAGGTAAACACCATACAAGACTTGTTTATATGTCAGAAAATTTCTACGTCATATAGGTTAACACCATACAAGACTTGTTTATATGTCAGAAAATTTCTATGTCATATAGGTAAACACCATACAAGACTTGTTTATATGTCAGAAAATTTCTACGTCATATAGGTAAACACCATACAAGACTTGTTTATAAGCCAGGGGTGTAAAATTGCATGTATTTCATAACAAATGATTATACATACAGGAGAAAATTGATTCATGTGTTAAATATAGGGAGATGTGATCTCAATTTTTTTAATTTATAGAAGAATGAAACTGAATAAAATCAAGAAACTGTGCCATTATTACAAACATTAACAGTATATACAAACTAATAGAATTCAGCGGAGCCTTGGCCTAGTGGTTAAGGTGTCTGCCACTCAACCCAGGGATCATTGGTTTTAGCCCTCAAGACCTGCTCATGTTTCCTGATTTAACACCAGTACTGGTTAGTTCCAGGAAGCGGACTCAAAAGTGATTAATATAAGTTGCAAGAACTTGTTTTGCAATCAAGCTAAAATATATGTAAATATAAATTATTTAAACTAAATTAATAGAAAACTAAAAGATTACTTTCAATATGAAGTACAATGCACATTTTCATATTTATATGTCTACCTAGTAAAACATTAGAATAAGCTTGTTATACAGTTTCAGCAATGAAGTTTCTCCGAGACAACAGTGTAGCACATATGGATCTCAAACCACAAAATATTCTATGCTCTTCATCAACAGACCCTGTCCTCAAAATTGCCGGTAATTATCTTGAGTTGTAAGAGACTTCTTTATATGATATGATATTGTATATATTGGACACTTATTGATAAAAGGAACAATCTGGAAAAAAAATCTCTAGAATGCAATGAACAGTGCAACTTTAAGCTTTGTCATTTTGAACAGTTTAATACTCTTTTATGGCTTGTATTTATTTTATTTCTTTCAAACATATTTACAATACACGCATACCGGTAAGTGTTTAAGAAAAACTGGCAGCTGCTCACCATTTAGTAGTGTACATTTATTGAATAATTTGAAGTTTGAAAGTAAAAATATTTATATATATAAAATGCAGGATTCCTCTTCAATATTGTAATGAATTGTTGATTTGAAAAAATATATCTTTTGTTTCTTGGTAAAAAATTTATCTTGCTGGAAAATGGAGCTCTTATTTTTTGTTTCAGATTTTGGTTTTGCTAAGCACTTGTACCAAGATGATAAGCTACATGCATTAAGGGGCAGTCCCCTATATATGGCACCAGAGATTATATGCAGAGGACGATATGATGCTAGGGTAGATCTCTGGTCTATAGGTGTTATATTATATGGTAAGTAATAAAAGTAACACTGAGTGAATACAAACTCGGGTCAACAGTTTAAATCTACTTTAAATTATTAACAAATTAGCCAATGGTATGAGAGTTTCAATACAGTAGCTAAATATTGGAGTCTTTAAAGTTCAATCTTAAATGTTGAAAACTTGAATGTATATCTGTAATGACATATTTGTATGAGAAAATTATAAATGTAATGAATTACCTTTTTATAGAATGTTTGTTTGGAAGGGCACCTTATGCCTCAAAGTCATTCAAAGAATTGGAGGAGAAAATCTGGGATCCTAAACCTGTAGAGGTAATGTTAAACATCCTATATTTATAGAGGTAATATCCAAATATCCTAAACCTGTAGAGGTAATATTAAAATATCCTAAACCTGGAGATATCCTAATCCTGTAGAGTTAATATCAAAATATCCTAAACCTGTAGAGTTAATATCAAAATATCCTAAACCTGTAGAGGTAATATCCAAATATCCTAAACCTGTAGAGATAATATCAAAATATCCTAAACCTATAGAGGTAATGTTAAAATATCTTAAACCGGTAGAGGAAAAATCAAAACATCCTAAACCTGTAGAGTTAATATCAAAATGTCCTAAACCTGTAGAGATAATATCAAAATGTCCTAAACCTGTAGAGATAATATCAAAATATCCTAAACCTGTAGAGATAATATCAAAATATCCTAAACCTGTAGAGGTAATATCAAAATATCCTAAACATGTAGAGGTAATATCAAAATATCCTTAACCTGTAGAGATAATATCAAAATATCCTAAACCTGTAGAGGTAATATTTTAAATCTTAAACCCATAAAAGTGATATTGAAACATCTTAAATCTGTACAGATTTATGTTACATTTATAACAAGTATATCCTGAACTTGTAGAGGTAATATAAAAACATGCATTACAGTTACCATATGGTGTAGAGATATCAGATGAATGTAGAGATTTGTTGTTGAGATTACTAAAGCGAAAACCAGATGAGCGGATCTCATTTGAAGAATTCTTTGAACATTCATTCCTTGATCTTGAACACGCACCATCAGAAAAATGTCTTCCTAAAGCAGTAAGTTGAAATTAGAACTGATATTTAAAATTTCTAAATGTCTATAGTACAAGGTACATGTATGTACTTTTTTACCTTCCCGAACTATGTGCACTTTAATAACCATGGCAATGCAACATTTGAGCACACTTCTTCAGCTTCATACGATGAAACTGTTATTAGTCCCCTACCGGTTTAACCAGAGGGGACTTTAGGTTTACCGTCTGTCCGTCAGTCCGTCTGTCTGTCAGTCCGTCAGTCCACAAAACTGGATCCCGCGATAATGCAAAAAGTACTGAAAATATTTTTATGAAACTTGATATATGGATAGATGGCAGTATGGAGATTATGCACATCTTTTTTTTTTTTAGCTCACCTGTCACAAAGTGACAGGGTGAGCTTTTGTGATCGCTTTTCGTCCTGGCGTCCGTCCGGCGTCTGTCCGTCGTCCGTAAACTTTTACTTTAAATGACATCTCCTCATAAACCACTAAGCCAATTTCATCCAAACTTCACAGGAATGTTCCTTTGGTGGTCACCTTTGAAAATTGTTCAAAGAATTTAATTCCATGCAGAACTCTGGTTGCCATGGCAACCAAAAGAAAAAACTTAAAATATTTTCTTCTTTTAAAAAACCCAAAGAGCTAGAGCTTAGATTTTTGGCATGAAACATCTTCTGGTGAGTGTCTACCAAGTTTGTTCAAATAAAAGCCCTTGGGTCAAAATTGGCCCCGCCCCAGGGGGTCATTGATTTTCCCTATATGCATATAGTAAAAACTTAAAAAATCTTCTTTTAAAGAACCAAAAGAGCTAGAGCTAAGATATTTAGCATGAAACATCTTCTAAAGGATGTCTACCAAGTTTGTTCAAATAAAAGCCCTGGGGTCAAAATTGGCCCCGCCCCAGGGGGTCATTAATTTTCCCTATATACATATAGTAAAAACTTTAAAAAATCTTCTTTTATAGAACCAAAAGAGCTAGAGCTAAGATATTTAGCATGAAACATCTTCTAATGGATGTCTACCAAGATTGTTCAAATAAAAGCCCTGAGGTCAAAGTTGGCCCCACCCCAGGGGGTCATTGATTTTCCATTTATACATATAGTAAAAACTTTAAAAAAATCTTCTTTTATAGAACCAAAAGTCAAAATTGGCCCCAGCCCCGAAGGTTATTCATTTTCCCTATACAGTTTGTATGTGTAAAACTATAGCAAAAATTGAAAAATCTTCTTTGAAAAAACTCAAATAGCAAGAGTTTAGATATTAAGCATGAAGCATCTTCTAGTGAGTGTCTTCAAAGTTTGTTCAAATAGAAGCCCTGGAGTCAAAATTGGCACCGCCCCGGGGGACATTGATTTTCCTTATACAAGTATAGCAAAAACTTAAAAATCTTCTTTTAAAAAACCCGAATAGCTAGAGTTTAGATATTAAGCATAAAACATTTTTAGCTCGACTATTCGAAGAATATGAGAGCTATTGTAGTCGCCCCGGCGTCGGCGTCGGCGTCAGTGTCCGCGTCGGCGTCTGCGTTGTTTAAAGTTTTTTGTAAAGTCAAATATCTCAATTATTTCTTGAGATATTCAGTTGAAACTTACAATACTTATTTATAGTAACAAGGTACATCAGATTGACAAGTTGGATAACTCTGCCTACAATATTGACAGAATTATGCCCCTTTTTAACTTAGAAATTTTGGTTAAAGTTTTTTATAAAGTCAAATATCTCAATTATTGCTTGAGATATTCAATTGAAACTTACAATACTTATTTATAGTAACAAGATACATCAGATTGACAAGTTGGATAACTCTGCCTACAATATTGACAGAATTATGCCCCTTTTTAACTTAGAAATTTTGGTTAAAGTTTTTTATAAAGTCAAATATCTCAATTATTGCTTGAGATATTCAATTGAAACTTACCATACTTATTTATAGTAACAAGGTACATCAGATTGACAAGTTGGATAACTCTGCCTACAATATTGACAGAATTATGCCCCTTTTTAACTTAGAAATTTTGGTTAAAGTTTTTTGTAAAGTCAAATATCTCAATTATTGCTTGAGATATTCAATTGAAACTTACAATACTTATTTATAGTAACAAGGTACATCAGATTGACAAGTTGGATAACTCTGCCTACAATATTGAAAGAATAATGCCCCTTTGGAACTTAGAAATTTTGGTTCAAGTTTTTTTGTAAAGTCAAATATCTCAATTATTGCTTGAGATATTCAATTGAAATTTAAAACACTTTTTTATAGTAACAATGTACATCAGTTTGCAAAATTGCATAACTCTGCCTGCAATATTTGCAGAATTATTTGCCCCTTTGAAACTTAGAAATTTTGGTTAAAGGTTACAGGTCTTCAAAAATATTTACTTGAAACTTTACACATGCACTTAGGGTCATAATTGGAGGGTCATAATTGTATGTCACTGACCAAGTTCCATAACTCTATCTTGCATTAAGGCTGATTCATATCCCCTTTTCTACTTTGTCTCTTGGTTATTGTTTACATGCAAGTTATACATATCTCAATAACTATTAAAGATATTTATTTAAAATTTCACATATGCATTTAGGGTCATAATTGTAGGTCACTGACAAAGATCCATTATTCTATCTTGCATTTATACTGATTTTTCTCCCCTTTTTCAACTTAGAAATTCATGGTAAAGTTTTGCTTGTAAGCTGTTATCTCAATAACTACTGAAGGGTTTGTGCCTTTTTTTGGGACAAATTTATGCATTCATAATGATAAAGCAGTGATTTACTTGATAAAACATCTTAATAACAAGCCTCTGTACCTTTTCTGTCAAATTTATGTATTCATAGGTAATTAGTATTATTATACTCAATAAAACACCCTTGTGGCATTACCTTCCAAATAGTCAAGCCAATACTGTATAATTAGACTCTCTCTAAGGCCTATTACATGAATTTATAAAAAAAATTAGCCCTTTTGTGAACTTAAAAAATTTAACATTATCAAGGCTCTTTTACTATCAAGCACTTAAAATAGTCGAGCGTGCTGTCCTACTGACAGCTCTTGTCTAGTAAGTGTCTACAAAGATTGTTCAAATAAAAGCCCTGGGGTCAAAACTGGCCCTGCCCCAGGTGTGTCATTGTTATTGTCAGGATTTAAATACTTTAAATTCCCACATCGTAATAATATGACAAGGTTGTATTAACATAATTTCCTTACTAGGCATGAAAACTTAACACATTACAGTGATATAGACAAACTTAGAACTCAAAAGATTTAAGTTCATTCATGTCATTCATTCACTGGTAAAATTGACTGGCCAATGGCCCTTTAGAATGTTGCTGGGGTTCTAACCGGTAGGGGACTTATGGATTGCTTGCAATACTATGATAATTGCTTGTATAGTATGTATAAACTACAGCAAGTCAAACTCATATACAAAGGTCAAATGTTCAAATATACCTGTTCTGTTTTACATTTACACAGGATTTTCATGAAACTTTATTCAAATGTTTAAATGATTTACAAAATGTATAAATAAGATATAGCTGTCATTGGACTACATGGAAATTAATACCTACACTAAATAAAATGTAAAATGGTTAGATTTAAAACTTGGTTTTTGGATGTGTTGTTCCAGTACTGTCAAACACTGTTTAACTTGATGTCAAATATTCTAATTGTTTTGTTTTATTTTAGCTCTCCCTAGTGCAAAGTGTTCAAGGATCGATAAACTTGAAGCGTTGGTTAGTTGTCTGGTGTCTGTTTTCCACTCTGTTAACATTCTTAAAGTAACAGTTTGTATTTGACTTTGTGATGATATTATTGGTTTAAATACAAGTTTAATCTTGTGTTTTATATTCTAGACACAGCTAGTCACAGAAGCTGTTGAGCTGGACTCAAAGGGAGACTACCCTGGTGCTATAAAACTGTACTGTGAAGCTGTAAGCTTTTTTCTGCCAGCAATAAAATGTAAGTAAAAGTGATATATTAATGTTATTAATTAATTTTCATATCAGTAGACATATTGAGTTTGGAACTGTTTCACAACTTTGTTCTCAAAATTCATAAACCAAACATCAGAGATAAAGTATAAAATTCTTCATGTTTATACAACAATTACTAAAGCTGAATACAAACCCCTCTAAAACAGAGAAACATTTTAAATGATGTAAGATGATATAATTTTATCAAATTCTGTACAATTTCTATCTCTCAGAATCTAGTAATAATTTAACTGTGTTTTTTTCTTTTTTAAGACGAGAAAGACTCAAAAAAGAAAGAGGCACTGAGGAAAAGGGTAAAAAATCAATACTAATTTCTGTTTTAGTTTATGTAAAACTTGATTTCTAGAGTACTTGTAAAGTCCTTAATCTGGAGGTGAAATATTGAGTCTGAAATATTGTTTTATGTAAATTGTAAAGCCTAAACAAATGTTTTAATAATTTTTCCACTGAAGAAATACACTTGTGTATAAATATTTGAGAAATTATTTGACATGTGTTGAAGGAAGAATTAAGGTCTTTTATTGCAATAAAAACTGACGATACTTGAATATCATATCTTATACAAAACCACAACAAAAATGAGACTGAAATTTACTAATTACCCTAAAAAGTAAAAAAAATAACAGCATAAAACATTGTGTACTTGGACAGAAATTATCAATATTTTGATTTAGACAAAAGATTACATAAATAGAGCGGAGGAATTAAAGACACAATTAAAACCTCATCGTGATCCTGGTAATACATTACAAAGATCTACGTCTAGAAATAACGAGGAAGAACTAGGTATATTAACATTTTATCTTTATGGCAATCATGTATTGAAATTTATACAAGTTTTAAATTAAAAGAATCGAGTAAAATTTTTATTATTGCAGGGGTGTCAAAAGTCCGGATTAATCAGGATTTCCGGATTACCCCGCCAAAAAGTCATTTCTGAGATAAGTGCAAATTCGATAAAAAAATTCGATGGGGAGGGGGGGGGGGTAAGGGTTCAGTTGTTTTAAAAAATCCTCAGTGATTGACGGATACAATACTGTAGTTAACGTGAGTATCATGAAAAAGAAATCGACGAAAAACGGTATAAATGTGACCGGTACCTGTACGAAATGTATAGGTTTTAGCATCGTGATAAAAATCACCAGGCGCATCGCTTGCAAGCGTCTACTGATTACAACCAAAGATCGAAATTCTCAAATTGTCTTTTTGAGGTTGTGCTTGTTTTAAAAGTTGTTTTATCTTTTATTGTTTACACTCAACTTTTAATACTCTTGATTAAATGCATCACATACGATAAAAGTTTTTAGACTATACTGTCAGAGGAAAAAAATGATGTGACTTGGTCAGAGTGAAAATGGCAAAAAATTATGACAATTACATTTAAAAAATATTGGTGAAGTGTCTGGGGAAATTGTTTCTAGTGCATCTTAAAATGCTGAAACTCAATTTTTCCTGGGGGGCAAAACTTGATCCCCCACAGGGGCTTTGCCCCTTGACCCCAATGGGGACCTGCGGCCCTCAACCCCCCGGCTTTTTCAGGATTTTAAATTTAGACTTGTTGACACCCCTGTTATTGAAACATTTTAGAAATCTTTGGCTATATATATTTTTAAGAGTTAAGTCCCTTTTTAACTCAATTGATTTAATTGATTATTTATAGATTTATTGTAAGAGTATTGTGATCTGAAACTTGTATTTGACTTTAGTGTATTTAACTAGGCCCAGATCTGAAAAGGGGGAAATGGACAAAAGCCCTCCCGGACAGAAGCCCTCCTGTCAAAAAGTGACAAGGCGGACAAAAGCCCTCGCGTGAAAATGACAGGGCGGACATTAGCCCTCCCGTGAAAATTTTGACGGGAAGGCTTTTGTCCGGGAGGGCTTTTGTCCTACACTCCTGAAAAGGTGCCGAGTGTGAACCATACTGTTATCTGTGATTGATGTAATAGATATTACTATATATGTACAAAGACATGCTAAACAAATTTAATGTTTCTATCAAGTCATATTTTATAATGAAATAACAGTATAATATAATATAGCAGTGGAAAATACATTATTATTCTAACACACCACCCCTCCAGCCATTGCCACCACTATATGGTTTACGTCCATATTATGGGTATTTTGGAATTTTTATTTTTTTTCAGTTAATCTATACACAGGTTGTGATGAAATGGTAGCTGCTGTAAAACTAGTCAATGCAGCTGTCATTGAGGTGTGTATATTTTCATGTTCTTGTATTGATTTACATGTAGGTTCTTCATAAACGTTGCAGAAAATAAAAAAAATTGACATTCTTAACTACTTTTAGATTAGATTTGTTTATCCATCTCAAACACATGGACAGAGTGACATTCATTTATTATAAACTTTTTTTCACCATTTGTTATGTATATTCTTTATCTGAGTTTCAAGCATTATTATATATGTATCATTTATTATCAAATGTTATCATTGGTGTTATTTGATATCATATGTAATTATTGTTATCATGTGTTATCTTATTATATGTTATGATATATTATCATCAAGTGTAATAACAGTTTGACATGACATCATTTAAGTTATATACAAATTCATAGCTTAAATGGGCACTAATATTAGCGAAACACTTAGGGGCCTCAATGAAAAATGACTCTTTTTAACAGTTTACCTTTATTATTTTTAGTTATGTGATTAATAGAATATTCTATTCCTTTATATTCAATACTAAATTTATTGAACAAGTTGAATAAAACAATATTATGTTCGCTAGAGGCTTGCATAATATGATTTTAATCAACTTATTCAATAAATTTAGTATTAAAACTACACTCATTCAATACCCTCTATTTATAATATGTCATGATGTATTACAGGAAGACAAGGAAGAATTTGAGCTGGCATTAAAACATTATGAACTAGCTCTAGGTACAGCAATCAAATATCTTAAATGTGAGTATAATTATGTCCCTTGTATCATTGTATCTTTTCTTGAAACATTTAAAAATTTCAGTATCATAATTTTATGATGTTTAAGACAAGTTACTTTTAATTTTAGGTTTTAAGATCACGGTCCTATTAAGTCACCATAGGTCGTTGTTGTAGAAAATGAGCAGCCAAACAGGGACTTGAGCAGCACAGAACTTTTGTTATATTGTACCACAGCTCTTCTAACTATTCTTATGGCTGCTTACACATTTTCTTCCCATTACTGATAAATTATATACCATGAAAGTTCAATAATTGACAGCTGAAGGAAAAGGAAGGAAGAAAGATTTACTACGAGAGTGTTGTGATAAATGGATGAACCATGCTGAACGTATCAAGTCATACCTGGCTGTTAGACAATGTGGTAGTGTCGAGGAGAAACAAGAAGAAGAAGATGAAAACGAACAAAGCTTTCTTAAAACAGGTGAGAATATATATATATTCTATAAGTTACTGTACTCTCAGTGTACATAACCACATGATTTGGTTGAAGTTTCATGTTTATCTTTCTTAATCATAGAAAAGTGTCATGTCATATAGGACATTGGTAGTTAATTTTATTTTAGCACATTTTGGGGTGTTGTTTTTTCAACAGAATACTGGTTGTTAAATTGATGCTAGCAGGCTGATTGGAATAAACAATTTTTCCTATGCACAATTCCTCCTATATTTTCCAGTTAAGTAAGCTATATATATATAGAGGCAGTTAAGATTTTTCAAGGAAACTTGTTTCATTTCATTGTCATGCCAAGTGTTTTATTTTAGTGCCATCTCAAGTGTAATATTTGATAAAAAAAGAACTTGGTTTTATTTCAGTGCCATGTCGAGTTCAGTAAGATGTTAGAAAGACGACTACAGAAGTAACCTGTGAAAGACACCTTGTGCAGAATGGAAAAATGGGTCCTCTCAGGAATTTATGTGTATTTGAATAATTGTGTGTAGAAACGTGATGAAGGAGAACATATGTATGTTACTGGGGTTTGTTTTGGCGCAGGACTTATCCCAGAAATGAAATGGAAATAAGGCAAAGAGCTTTAATATAATGAGGGGATTACAAAATCACATATAAATCACCATGCTTGTATATGTTAATGCAAGATAGAATCTTTTAAACTGATTTCGTCTTGTGTACTTATTTGTTTAAAAAATTTTATGAGTTATTGTTGTCATCGCATTATTTAACTTTTATTTGTTATGTGAATTTGTTATTATATCTTTTTAAAAGAAATATTCCTTATCTGTTTTATTGTATTGATAGATTCAAGTTCTTTATGTGTTGTACTAACATTTTTGATAAATATCTAGCAAGATTGGTTTTAGAGTAATATATTAAATTTTTCTGATATTTTTTTTTATAAACTTTGTTTGAACTATAACCTTTGAATGCCATGAGGATTTTCAGCTGATAATTGCTAGTTAAATTACATGATAATATTCACAAAGATCAATAATATTTGTGGTCAGAATTTAAACACTGACATTAGATAAATGCATGTTTTGAAATTTTGTTTTAAATGTGTTTTGGAAAAACAAGCATAGTAACAGTTTCTTGTAAACAGCTATAAAATTATCATCACTTGATTGCTGTAACTCTATAGCCCTTCAATTTAAATAACAAACTTGTTTTGCTATGTGTAGGAACTGAAGTGATTCTGTTTACAAAATTATAAAGTTGAGTACTAACAGTTAAAGAGCCTGGTCTAACTGACTATTCTGGTGCCATATGTAGGTCATTATCTCTGCTAACATTAGTAAACTTCTTCTCACTAGTATCTGGATAAAAATGTAGATATATCCAATCTTTCATTACTGTTTTCCTACATTGTCCAATTTTTCTTGTTACATCATCATTTAATATTGTATTGCCCTATACTTTGTTGGTATATTTTTAAAATTGTAGGCTTTTTTGCATTGTTTACATTTTGTGTGCCTTTAAAGCTGCATGGCTCCAGATAAGCCAAACTATTCCAAGGAAATCAAACTTGAGAAATATGTACTAAGATTTTAAAAAAAGGTTCAAGATTCAAGTATTAATTATTAACGTCTGATTCTGCAGTATTTTATTACCACAATTCTACCACATGACTAACACAGTAAAGGCTATTTTTGTATATATTGACCTCTTTTTGGTAATTAACGTGGATTGTAGGAGCTGTTTTCAATTTGTTATAAGTCCCCTACTGGTTTAACCAGAGGGTACTATAGGTTTACCTTCTGTCCGTCTGTCCATCCATCAGTCAGTCCGTCCACAAAACTGGATCCCGTGATAACGCAAAATATACTGAAAATATTTGTATGAAGCTTGATATATGGATAGATGGCAGTCTGGAAATTATGCATATCTTTTTCTTTTCTTCCTATGTTGAAAACTCTGGTTGCTATGCCAACAAATAGACTGAAAATATTGCTAATTTAGTGCATAAACTGGATCCAGTGATAGTGCAAAAAGTACTGAAAATATTTTTATGAAACTTAAAATATTGGTAGATGGCAGTCTGGAGATTATACACATCACTTTAATCTTTACTATAGGAAGTATATTGAGAGCTGTCCTACTCACCAAGAGTTGGCGACCTCGTTGATGTTTCTGATTCAAGTTTTTACGCTTTTTTTCACTATATGTTCCTTATTTCTTAAGGTATTTACTTCAAATGTAAATATATATATTTCTGATTATCAACCTCATCAAATGTTATATGACAAGATTTACAACATAAATGATCAGAATTACCCCCCTTGAACTTATAATTTTCATTAAAAAAAGAAGAGTTTTTTTATAACTTCTTTATTTCTTAATAAAATTTCTTTATACAAACTAAAATTAGAACACTCCGATAATCTAAATGGATGTTAATGTAAACAAAATTAACTTTGATCCATTACGTACGTGTTTGACATTTCTTCAGTATTTTTAAACTTCTCCGTTGTATTTCCTTGTCTTTAACACGAAAAACCTAATAAGTGAAACATTTTTCTGTTGTGCATTTTTCATTTGATATAAACAAATTACATCTAATTGTAACAATTAATTTAATTGCTGATCAAGTTCAAGGTCAATTCAATGCAGTCTAAATATCAACAGCGAAGCGTATACACCATTTCAGTAGGGGCAGAGCGTTGCATAAATTCATAGGTCCATTAATACACCAGTTTTTAAACATGTTAAATCTTCTGTAACTAAAGGTTCATTTATGGATAAAAATGTTTTGTTATCTGATTTAACCTTTTTAAAGAAAAATGTTTCACAGCATATGATTTCTACAAGCCAGGGCTTGCCTTAAACATTCCTGTCTTTGTGTTTTAATCAAGCATGTCATCTCTTTATATCAGCTATGTTTGAAAATAAAGTTTTAAATGAGTCATGAATCTCCAGAGTACTGCATAATGATTTACTGTAGGTCTTATTTAATAATGTTAAAGTTTCAAGCAGGGGAAAGATTTTCATTTTGTTGGTTATTATGTCATGTTATTTAGCTGGTCTATTAAACAATATTGTTACAAGGTCATCTTTGTCATTGTTATTGTAGAATTTTATTTATGCTTTTACTTTTGAATTGATAAATACATTCATGTAATGATCACCATTTTGTGCTGTCAAATAAAATATGACAAACATTTTTTCTATATTTAAATATCAAAAAAGAAATGCCAGTCTCCCTTATACATTATATACATAAACACTGTAATATTTTGCTACAAAAATGCAGCTGTTGATTTTTGTTTTTACAGCAAAAACTTGCAGATGTTGGCGACTGTCTTACTACAAATCCAGAGTCGAGAAACTTTGATCTCCTGTTAATTATGAAACTAAGGCCACATTTATAATAATAATAATAATAATAATAAAAGATTTTATTTAAAGAGGCAATACTGTTGGGTGTGCCCAGTTTTCCCTATGAGCCTCTTTAATAAGAGTGAGGCCCGTTTAATGAAAAACTGAGGTCCTGTTTATCTTAAAAGCAATGGCCTGTTAATTATAAAACTGAGTACCTGTTTATAATAAACTGAGTTCATAATTGAGCCATGCCATGACAAAACCAACATAATGCGTTTGCGACCAGCATTGATCCAGACCAGCCTGCGCTTGGTTTTGTCATGGCACAGCTCAAGTATTTATCATAGAACAAAGGTTCTGTTTATTAGAAACCTGAGGTAATTTACTGCAAAAACAAGTTAAGAGCTGTATTTAATGAATCCTCATTCACCAAGTTTAGCAGACCAAAGTTCATTTTCACCATCAGGGAAGTCGGGGAGAACTGTGCTCATTATTAGGCATTCATTTGCTTTTGTATTGATGTCTCAAATAATTGTTTGTTGTTTCCTTTGTTTTGAACTTTTGAACCACCTTTTTTTACCAGCATGAAATTTTATTTTGAAATATTTTAGAACTAAAGTTTGATATGTGTACCTTAGAGAAGAAACTGTTAAATTACGAGTAACCAGTAGGTAACGAGGATAGTGAAATCATCTAAACAAGGGAATATTACATGTTATGTTCTATGTATGCTTCACTTATTTTGATTTCAGTGAAACTGTGATATTTTAAACTATTTATATTTTGTTTATTCATTGTTTATCTATATCAAAAGTAATAAATGTATGTTACAAGGTTAAATTGATGCTATGTTTTGTTGCCTGTATGATTGTGAACTAGAAAAAAACAAACAATATTTACATGATATTGGATGTATTTTGAAAGTTATTATTTGGTGTTTTTTTTATTAAAATATTTTAAATATTTCGATATATAGTTGGTTATTTTATGTTTTTTAATATCTTTACCTGAAATGGACTCAGTTGACAAATTATTATGTTCATATATGTACATGACTATTATACATGTAGAAAATTAAAAAGGCCATAATTCCACCTGAACATTTAAATTAAAAAAAAAAAAATGCTCACAATATGTGCCATGGCACTTGATGAAAAAGCTTCTGTGAAATTTTAATGTTGAAAACCTGGTTATGTCGCATTGCGATGTATCTTGTTATGTTCTTGTTGCATTGTCTTCATATTTGGCCACTACACACCTTGGTACAAGACCTTCAAGTACACCAGACTAAACTTGACCTACATTCATAAATGACCTTGAACTTGAAGGTCAAAGTTCAAGGTCACACTTAGAGGTCATTGAAAAATGCTTGTCTGCAACAAAACTTCTACATGCACAGAGGGATTTCAATATAACTTGGCACAAATGTTCACCATCATGTGGCAGAGTGTCACATGCAATATTTAGGTTTTCTCCTACACATATGGAGGGATTCTAATGAAACTTCACAGAAATGTTGACAACTATGAGAAGCAGTGTCATGTGCATGAACCAGGTCTCTAGGTCAAAGGTCACACTTATAGGTCATTTAAAAATGCGTGTCTGGAGCAAAACTTCTACATGAATTGAGGGATTTCAATATAACTTTCAGTTTGCACAAATGTTCACCATTGTGAGGCTAAGTATTGTGCACATAATCCATGTCCCTGCAACCAAAGTCAAGGTCACATAGAGAGGTCAAAGTTTATGTATAAGGACCATTTAGTCATCATTTATTAATGGATTGTAACACAAATGATAATAATCAGGTCTCGACATAAGCGGTGGTCCATTGGTCCGAGACCACCTGATTTTGGCAAGGACCACCTAATTTTACAGGCAACTGGTCCGTTAGACCACTTGAATTTTTCAAATGGTGCAGGGCTCGTCTGGGAGAATGGTTATTTGGTCGAAAAACGTGTTCTATAATTATTGTTTAAAACCATTTCTCTGATGTACAGGTATATGTTCATTCATCTCATTAGTTCAAAAAGATCTTAAGACATCCATAACTTTTTATTAAATTGCTAACAGTGTAGTTAAAAAAGTAGAAAATTATTTTAATAATTAAAGTATAAAATGCATTCAAATGTCTCTAGTACTGCATTGAATTTATAACATTATATCACTATGGGATATCAGATAAAGTTCACATGAATAATGGTGCAAACAAAGGCAAAGGAAAAATTAAATATCTAGTAATCTTTGGCTACTTTTTTAAATGATCAGAGATCCATTTTTAGCTCACCTGTCACAAAGTGACAGGGTGAGCTTTTGTGATCGCTTTTCGTCCGGCGTCCGTCCGTCCGTCCGCACTACCTTAAAGGGATAGGGGGGCATCTAACTGTAAACAGAACAAAAGAGAACAATAGACTTCATTCCGTAACAATAGAGTAAGGGGCCATTGGCCCTCTATTAAACAATAGAAAATAACGAAAGAAATGGCCCCTTATTCCATTTCGGCCGGACGTCCATCCGTCCGTAAACTTTTACTTTAAATGACATCTCCTCATAAACCACTAGGCCAATTTCATCCAAACTTCACAGGAATGTTCCTTTGGTGGTCACCTTTAAAAATTGTTCAAAGAATTTAATTCCATGCAGAACTCTGGTTGCCATGGCAACCGAAAGAAAAAACTTTAAATATCTTCTTTTAAAAAACCCTAAGAGCTAGAGCTTAGATGTTTGGCATGAAACATCTTCTAGTGAGTGTCTACCAAGTTTGTTCAAATAAAAGCCCTGGGGTCAAAATTGGCCCCGCCCCAGGGTGTCATTGATTTTCCCTATATGCATATAGTAAAAACTTAGAAAATCTTCTTTTAAAGAACTCAAAGAGCTAGAGCTAAGATATTTAGTATCAAACATGTTCTTATAGGTGTCTACCAAGTTTGTTCAAATAAAAGCCCTGCGGTCAAAATTGGCCCCGCCCCGGGGGTCATTGATTTTCCTTATATGTGTATAGCAAAAACTTAAAATTCTTCTTTGAAAAAACCCAAAAGAGCTAGAGTTTAGATATTAAGCATGAAACATCTTCTAGTGAGTGTTTACAAAGTTTGTTCAAATAAAAGACCTGGGGTCAAAACTGGCCCCGCCCTGGGTGTCATTGATTTTCCTTATATGTGTATAGCAAAAACTTAAAATCTTCTTTGAAAAAACCCAAATAGCTAGAGTTTATATATTAAGCATGAAACATCTTCTAGTAAGTGTCTACAAAGTTTGTTCAAATAAAAGCTCTGGGGTCAAAACTGGCCTAGCCCCAGGGGTGTCATTGTTTTTAACTATATGTGTATAGTAAAAACATAAAAAAGTCTTCTTTTAAAAAGCCCAATGAGCTAGAGCTAAGATGTTTAGCATGAAACATCTTATGGTTGTCTACCAAGTTTGTTCAAATAAAAGCCCTGGGGTCAAAATTGGCCCCGCCCCAGGGGGTCATTGATTTTCCCTATATGCATATAGGAAAAACTTAGAAAATCTTCTTTTAAAGAACTCAAAGAGCTAGAGCTAAGATATTTAGCATCAAACATGTTCTTATAGGTGTCTACCAAGTTTGTTCAAATAAAAGCCCTGGGGTCAAAATTGGCCCCGCCCCAGGGGGTCATTGATTTTCCCTATATGCATATAGTAAAAACTTAAAAAATCTTCTTTTAAAGAACTCGAAGAGCTAGAGCTAAAATATTTAGCATCAAACATGTTCTTATAGGTGTCTACCAAGTTTGTTCAAATAAAAGCCCTGGGGTCAAAACTGGCCCCGCCCCAGGGGTGTCATTGTTTTCACTATATGTGTATAGTAAAAACTTAAAAAAATCTTCTTTTAAAAAGCCAAATGAGCTAGAGCTTAGATGTTTTGCATGAAACATCTTCTTATGGGGGGGGGGGGCTATATACAGGTGAGCGACCTCAGGGCCATCATGGCCCTCTTGTTTCTTATTTAAAGTACTTTAAAAGGTTATAAATACTTTGTAAAAAATTAATAAATTTCAACAAACAAGCATGTATATGAGGGTACTGCCTCGTCTGGTGTATTTATTTTAAAGAGGGCGGCACTAATCCAATTTAAAAAACCTTTCGGGATTATCAGGAGCTCGGGCCCCATATTGGGGGGGTTTTTTCCGGTTAAAATGTTTTTGGCCCCGAGTTAGGGCCCTTTGATAAAAAGGTTTTTTTTTTGTGGTTGCCAGATATCAAAAGTTTGCCCGGAAACCACCCTAAAAACTAGGGGCAATTTTACCCAAATTTTTTACGGGAAATGATCAGTCCCAAGTGTATTGTCCATTGTCAGTTTTTCCGGTTCAATGTTTTTTTAAAAGATTTATGGTTTTAAAAATTTTTTTTTTTAAAAAAATTTTGGGCCCGGGACTATTTCTCTTATACCACAAAATGAAATTTCAATGAAATTTTACGGGTTTGATTGTACCCAAAGTCTTTGTGAAATTTTAACGGGTTTTTCCGGTTGAATTTTTTTGTCCGATTAAAAGGGCCCCTTTAAATAAAAAGGGTTTGGTTTTTTTCTTTGTTAAACCCCAAAAGCTTTTTCAAAACAAACCCCGGAAAACTAATTTTTTATAAATTCCCCCGGGAAATGATCAGTCCCAAAGTCTATTTGTGCACTGCCCTTCTGTCTGTCTGAAAAACTTGCCCCGGAAAATAAAATTGGCGATCATGAGGCGAATATTTATCACTGATTCCCTTTTTTTGGGTTTAAATGATTTTTGGTCGATTTATGGCTATCAGAGCGACAATGTGATCCCCTGTTTCGTTCTTTTTGTTATACCTAGTTATCTGACATGTTATGATTTTTAGCTTTGACTATAACGCAGCAGAATAATATTCAAATTCTAATGTATTCCACCCAAATTTGTCAGCGTCGGCGTCCCTGTGGTTTAAGTTTTTACGTGTAAGAGCTGGTGGTATCTCCATAACTACTGAAGGGAATGTGATTGAAACTTCACACACCTGTTCTCTGATGGATATTATCTAAGATGAGTGGCTTTATGTCCCATAAACTCTGATTTGCTATATTTTATATAATATATTATGCCCCTTTTTTTGGACTTAAAAAATTCTTTTAAGTTTTTTGCGTGTAAGCTGGTATCTTCATAACTACTGAAGGGAATGGATTTGAAACTTCACACACTTGTTCTCTGTGATTATCTAACATGAATGGGCAACAAGTCCATAACTCTGATTTTCTTTTTTGCATAATAATATTTTATGCCCCTTTTTTTCGACTTAAAAATTCTTGGTTAAGTTTTGTGTGTAAGCTGGTATCTCCATAACTACTGAAGGGAATGAATTGAAACTACTCACACTTGTTCTCTGTGATTATCTAACATGATTGTCACATGTCCCATAACTCTTATATGCTTTTTTGCATAATTATGCCCCTTTTTCGACTTAAAAATTTTTGGTTAAGTTTTTTTGGCAAGCTGGTATCTTTAAATAACTACTGAAGGGAAGGATTGAAACTTCACACATTTGTTCTCTGTGATTATCTAACATGATTGGCACAAGTCCCATAACCCTGATTTGCTTTTTTGCATAATAATGCCCTTTTTGACTTTGAAATTCATGGTTAAGTTTTTGCGTGCAAAGCCGTATCTCCATAACTACAGAAGGGAAGTGGATTGAAACTTCTCACTCTTGTTCTCTGTGATTATCTAACATGATTGGCACAAGTCCCATTACTCTGATTTGCTTCTTTTGCATATATTTATGCGCTTTTTTGACTTAGAAAATTCTTGGGGTTAAGTTTTTGTATGTAAGCTGGTATCTCCTAACTACTTAAGGGAAATGAATTGAAACTTCACAAACACTTAGTTCTCTGTGATTATCTAACATGATTGGCAACAAGTCAATAACTCTGATTTGTTTGTTTTCTTTTCATAATCATGCACCTTTTTCAGCTGAGAAATTCTAGGTAAAGTTTTT